CCTGCCACACCCAGTCGTGAATGGTGGTGGACGATTAATCAACTCACTGGAGGAGGAGGCTCCACAAATATCCCCATCCTCAATGATGGAAGTGCCCAGTACATCAGTGCAAAAAATAAGGCTGAAGCGTCTGCAGCAATCTTCGGCCAGGAAGTACCAAGTGGATGATCCATCTCAGCCTCCTCCAATGGTCCCCAGCATTACAGATACACTTGCAACATTGGCATCTACCTGGTAGTGTGGAAAATCGCCCAGTTATGTCCTGTACATAAAAAGCAGGACAAATCCAACCCGGCCAATTACCACCCCATCAGTCTATTCCCAATCATCAGTAAAGTGATGGAAAATATTATCAACAGTGCTATCAAGCAGCACCTGCTCAGCAATAACTTCACACATTTTCCTATATTATTATCCGTGGGCCAACTTTTCGCCGTCTTAATTAATCAATCAATATCTCTCTGTAAATCTTTTGTATCTCTCTCACAACTTGCCTTTCCACCTATTTTGTGTCATACACAGATCTCTACTCTCTTTCTCAGTCTTTCTAGTTAACTGCTCAAGACAATTTGTTCAAAGGTTACAGTTTATGGAGGGTAAGATAAAATAAAATTTGCATTAAATTTGACTGATAAGTATTGACCAGCTAACATTGATATTATTGCTGCCTGATGGCATTTTAAAGATGTGTGATTTTGTCCAGATGACATTTGTGCAGTAGGATGACTAATCCATTGGTACACATGAAGGCTTCCTTCTGTAAACAACACTGTTTTGGGGCATTCTATTAGATACATACAATATACAGTCACATAATAAATTTTAGTTTCTCTTAGGGCATTTTATAAGCAGAGCCTATTTTGGGGGAGGGCATCTGTGAAGTGCATTTTATATTGGGATCACTGGGACACAGCTTACATTCACAACACACGTGTCTGCACACACATGTACACACACACAGGCACACATTAATGTCATTTTAATAAATAGCAATTTAAAACACTTCAGTAACTCATTATCAAAAAATAAATAAAACTGTGTTATTTTTGTAGTAGTTTTTTTCTGCAATAATTAAAATGTGTTTAGTTCAGTGTGTATCACATCAACATATCCTAATGGTGTAAGTGCTGAAATAATGATGTTTAATCTTCTTTATCACCTTCCCAATTAAGCAGTTACTTAGTGAACACAAGTTATCATAGAGTCAGAGAGGTTTACAGCATGGAAACAGGCCCTTCAGCCCAACTTGTGCATGTTGCCCAGTTTTCACAATTAAATTAATCCCATTTGCCTGCTTTTGGTTCATATCCCTTCATACATATCCCATCCATGCACCTGTCCGAATGTTTCTTAAATAACAAAATTGTACTCGTCTCCAACACTACCTCTGGCAGCCCATTCCAGACACTAACCACCCTCTGTTTGAAAAAGTTGGCCCTCTGGACCCTTTTGTATCTCTCCCCTCTCACCTTAAACCTATGCCCTCCACTTTTAGACTCTCCTACCATGGGGAAAAGCTGTTGGCTGTCTGCCTCATCTATGCCTCTCATATATTTATAGATCTCTACAAGATCACCTCTCGGTCTCCTATGCTCCAGGGAAGAAAGTCTCAGCCAATCCAGCCTCTCCTTATAACTCAAACCTTCCAGTCCAGGTAGCATCCTACTAATTCTTTTCTGCACTCTTTCTAGTACAATAATATCCTTTCTGTAGTAGATCTGCAAGAAAAGCTTTCCCTAAACTCACACTGATTAGAGCTAAAGTATTCAGTGGTTACTGTGGGAAACGAAAAAGCCTTTCCAGTGCTACCACTTTGAATTTGGAGTAATGGCACAGTATTGGAACTCTCTTCTTGATGGAAGAACATTGAAAATACTGACAAAATATTCCATCTCCCAACACAGCAATTCCTCAACCTGAGGACTTCAATAATTCAAAAAAGATAAAGTAAACTTACAGGTTGCTAGATCTTTAGAGATTCCTCCGGGAACATTCATGCCCCCAGCTTTGCCACCTGTGCCACTTGAGGCTGCTTATATTCTAAATTCAGACTGCTTGTGCTGAAGCATATGTGTCTGGTAAAGACACAAGAGTTCACTTCTGTTTTCATCAGCTCGTGTCTATTAAGTCCTAATAGCCAAAGGAGAGGAAAAATGAACAGAATTGGTCTCCTGTGGCTGATCACAGGTTCCGGAACAACAATTGATAGTCCCCGAAACAGAATCAGATGGTCATGTTTGAACAGCAAATTGTAAACAATCCTAAAGGTGCAGTCAAATGCAAATGCAGTAAAGGTTGAAAATGGAAATATAACCCAATGCGTTTGCACTGGCTATTTGTACGTATTAGTCAATTCATCCCACTCCACTCCAAAATCACATTGTACCAATGCCAATCCTTTGATATCCTATTAATTTGATGACCATTATCTTTTTCTGTAGCCCTGCCTGTTTCTTCTCTTTTCAAATGTATATCCAATTCCCTTTTGGAAGTTACTACGGAATTTGTTTGTACCATCCTTTCTGGAGTTTAAAAGAATGAGAGGAGATCTAATTGAGGCATTATAAGATGCTAAAGGGGATTGACAAGGTAAATGTAGAAAGAAAAACAGAAGTTGCTGGAAAAGCTCAGCAGGTCTGGCAGCACATCTATGAAAAGAAATCAGAGTTAATGTTTCAGTTCTGAGGAAGGGTAACCAGACCTGAAATGTTAACTCTGATTTCTCTTTACAGATGCTGCCAGACCTGCTAAGCTTTTCCAGCAACTTCTGTTTTCGTTTCTGATTTACAGCATCCACAGGTTCTTTCAGTTTTTATTTAGATGCAGAAACGATGTTTCCTCGTGTGGGGCAATCTAGAATGAGAGGTCATAGTTACAGGGTAAGAGGTAGCAGATTTAACACAGACATGATGAGGAATTACTTCTCCCAAAGAGTCGTGAATCTGTCAAATTCACTATCCCAAACTGCAGTGGATGCTGGGATATTGAGTAAATTTGAGAAGGAGATAGATTTTTAATTACTCATGTGTTGAAGGGTTATGGAGAGTGGGCAGGAAAGCAGAGTTGAAGCCGAGATGAGATCAGCCATGATCATTTAAAATGTTTGAACAGGCCTGAGAAGTTGAATTGCCTACTCCTACTCTTAGTTCTTACGTCCTTTCAGACAGTGCATAATAACATAAAATGAGAAACAAAATATGATGTATTGAAGGAATTATAAGGATCTGAAAATATGCACACAACACAACTGGAATAGTAAGGAAACCTCATAGTTACAAGAAGTGAATGATAATTAGTCACAATCAGGTGATGCAGAAATTATGATTTGATTCTAAATCTTCAAATGAGTCTTAAAGTGTAACTATTTTCACCACATAGCTTCATCAATAGTTTCTTCATAAACAGTAGAATGTTAATTGCTCTGGATTTACAGATATTCGTTTCCAGACCCAGGTTTCATTACTGGTTGTATGATAAATCTCACAGTGTATAAGGTACAAGAAGCAAAAATCTATATCATGAGGCAAAAAGCTGCCTTTTTAATTGCATGCTATAAACAAAGTTTCCATTCAGCCATGAACTCTGATAACTGGAGACTGAACCTACATTTATGTTGATTTGTTTTTTGCCATGTCATCCCAATCTCTGATCATGGCAAGCTTAGCAAGTTTATTTTGGGGTTATGACAGAGCTGCTCTCTGTGTGATCCTGCAGCTGGAACCAGTTGGCTCAGGATCTGAGTAAGAGTAATATAAAAGAGCTTGAGGCTGGCGTTATACCTTTCTGTCTCGAGAAACCATGGTCTGAAAGAACAATGGCAAGCACGGATTTCTGTGCTAATTCTGTGATTATGTTTAGCAAGCTATTGCAGTAGGGTTTATCATTGCCTATTGCAGATGGCTGAACTGTGAGTTTCTCATATTCTGACATTGCTTACTACTGGGGTGGGTCGGAAAGATTTACAAGTTGATACTCAACCTGTTTGGCCATGTTATGAATCTATCAAGTCCCAGAGAGGGAGTTGAAGGCACAGCCTCTGCCTTGGAGGCCGAGATGTTACTCAACATGCCAGATGACTTCCTGGGGTACTGTAACACACTGGATGAAAACAATCCGCGAACTTTCTGTAAAGAATCTCACACCACAGGATTTTAATTCTCTTGATGATCTCCCGCTCTGCCTTAAGTGATTCTATTCAGGTATATGAGTCATGGAAATCTCCAGCACAGAAATAGGCCCTTCAGACCAATGAATGGTGCTATCGAAACAAGCAACGTTCAATTAGATATTGTCTGAACAACCAGGTCAGAAACGTTATTAAAGACCTCTGCAGTAGTTGGAACTTGAACCCAGGCTTTCTGGTCCAGAGGGAGGGACACCACCACTGCACTGCAAGAGCTCTCTGTATATTGGGATATTCAATATCATCAAAACTCATATGACAAATGTCCATCTGGGGACAATTAATGCAAAACCAAGTGACCCAGTTAAACCAAATTGCATGCATGAGCTAAATAAGAATTTTTTTTCTCTATCTGGTGCCCAGCAGTGACTGCCCTTTGATCAAACCAGTGGGCACTGAATGCTGTTATTACCAGGTTACCCAGGCATACAGGATTCTAGCTATTATGACTGGTCACTTTACTGTAAATCTCAGGTTGAATGGTCAGGTGCTATTTTCTACATACACGGAGAATGCCGGAGAAACGCAATATCTGTGGAGAGAGAAGCAGAGATAAAGTTTCAAGTCCAGTATGACTCTTCTTCAGAACACTGCTTTCTAGAGCCAGTTTTACATTTTCCCTCTCAGGGTGTCATTGAAAAAAGTGAAGGGAGATCAGCCCGTGTTTGTGCTTCCCTCACTCTCAGTAAATCCTTGGACATAAACACACTCGGGGATCTTGAACAGCTGTCAATTAGATCGTGTGTGATCTCGGGAATGTCAATGAGCCTCAATGGGCTGCACTGGGCGGCTTAACGAGCTTCTTATAAAACTGCTCTGGCTGCCATCGTGTAGTCAATGGCCTCAGCTTCTCCAAAACAAACATGTTTTCGCTCTGGGCTTTGGGTCTGGTCCTGATGGTTGCTGTGACGGGACAGCAACAGTCAGGTCCTTTGAGTTTCTGGTTTCTGACTTGCATCGTCTGCAGTTTCAGTTTTCCCCTGTTGTTTCTTATATGGTCTGTAACCCTGATTTTGGTGTTTCTCATTGTTCCATTTCTTAATCTCTCTCTGTTTATTTCAGTCCTTCATGATGGGATCGCTCACTCCTGCGGCAATACGACCCTGACTGTGTATGTGTCGACGGATTTCTTCAGTCACTTTGATGCCACGGCTTTCCGCCTGGGAAGCTGTCCTCCCAGTAGCTACTCTCCAGGAGGGCTCAGCTTCCAGTATGGGCTACAAGATTGTCGAGCTGGCAGGCTGGTGGGTGAAACTGACCCTCCCTCATGCCCGGCCACTGTGCGTGTGTATTGACTTTAGCCCTGATCTATGTCCCCTCTCTCAGGTGACTGACAAGGAGGTAGTTTACTGGAACTATCTGAAGTACGAGGCCAGTCCAGTACCAGGAAGGAAAGAACCACAGCTCAACAGACGCCTGGAATGTCGCTATCCAGTGTAAGGATCTAATCCAGCCTGGAATTCTCTCAGCACAAACTTTAAACTTGAATCACTTCCCCTTCCTCTTGGATCTGCCTCCTTGATAACATGAGGTTGAAGCTATACAACTACTTTTGTCAGTAGTTTTAACTCAGACTGTCTTGGAAGACCAAATCTGGACTGAACTGGTACAAAAAATCCAGAAAAGGCACTTCTTCAGATACTGCTTAGAAACTTGCTCTGACTGGTCCCGTTTCGTTTTTGGGACTCCCACGAATTGAGTCCCAAATTCATGACTGTCTTTTTTTTTTCTGACTTTTTTTACACAACTTTTGAAAGTGGAAAGCTTGGGTCAAAGACTAGTGTTTCCAGTGTAAAGTCACCTGTGGGACATAAACTGGCCTACTTAGGCTAACTGCTTCTGCAGTAATAATATTGTGGCAAACTCTTTAAAAAGGCATTTCAGTATGAGCAGTGTCTCTTAGATGCCTAAAAAAAACCTGTCCTGACTTTGGGGGGTGGTACAAGGAAAGCATTGAACTGAGTAAAGATGAGGTTGTAGGTCTGAGTGATGAGACCTGATTTCACTATTAGAACAATGAGGAAGGTCACTAAGTCTTCTTTTGTATAGCCTTTTTAAAAGGCTCAGTGCTCACCTTCTAGAAACCCCATAGTAGATGGGACAAAATGAATATGTTTCTCTTGTCATCACTAGAGGATATTCTCTTTGCAGCTCCACATCAGGAGCAGACAGGAACTTCACTTTACCTCACAGGAATGTGAGGAAAATGGGACTGGCAAGTCTTGGTCCCAATGACTCACTTTAGCCAATTTAAAAACTGCCAATGAGAAAACAGATGCATTGATGTTAACTGGCCAAAATTCCCTAGATCCAAGCAACTTATCTGCTACTTGGCTTGAAAAACCTTCAAGAGGGAAGCAGAAAGTTGGAAACCATAGGTCAGGTTATGGAGAAGGTGTTATAACAGCAAGGATTTCTACAGGACAAATGCAGTAGGGGTTCTCATGGTATTTGGCAGGGGTAGGGAAGTGTCATCTTTTTTGACAGGAAATTATGCTTCACCTAACTTTAGTCATCTAGAACAAGATTCTATCTATAGAGGAACATATAGACACCTTAACTTCCTTGGAGTTTTACATCGGATGCTATTTTGAACGGTGTGATGGAGATGGGTAGACTGCTCAACTCAATTATGCATGAGTGGGTCTGTCTGGTGAGATATGGTGTTTGGGGGGTGGTGGTCTGAGCTAAGGCTTCAATTTTTCAGTTTGATATTACTTGGTTGAGGGGAGTAGAAGCATAGTTGCTAAGTTTGCAGGACCAAGTAGGTAGAGTATCTTGGCACAACCAAAGAGCAGATTTGGACCACTTGGCACAATGGCATTTGATCATGGTTGATATGTTTCTCTAATGCCATTTTCCTGCCTTCTCCCTTTAATACTGATCTACTTACTGAGAACCAATCTACCTTAAAGACACTTAATGATCTGGCCTCAGCCTTCTATGGCAGTGGGTTTCACAGATTTGCCAATCTAGTGTAAGATATTCCTCAGACTTGGATTTTGTAGATAAATATAAATGGGGTGAGTGGGCCAATATCCAAGTGTAACTTGGTAAAACATTGGGTGTTTGGAAAGAACTGAAGTATTAAGTGACTGTAAAATGCCACTGCAAGAGGGAAGCAAGTGTTCTGGCAAGTATAACTTATGAAAGTAACTAGAAAAGCTGATAAGATGCTGCCTCAATACAAGAGGAATTGAACATAAAATGTTTGTTAACCCAAAGTATTGGTGAGACTACTCTCTAATGTATCATGCAATTTTGGTCTCATTGAGGAAAGATGTAAAATTTGGTGTTTGAGGTTTACCAGACTTCTGAAATGAGTGCACTGTCTTGAGGATTGGTTGGATAAGCTGGGCGTGTTAGCACTCACCCCTAGACTGAAGGGTGACTTGATTTTAAGATCCTGAATGGCCTTGATGGATGAACATAGTGAGGATACTCCTAGGAGTCCAGAACTAGAAATCCTATAGAAAACTTTCTCTTTAGAACATGAAACATTGATTTTGGAATTCTGATTTAGGAAATGGAAACATGTTAGTTAAATAATTAAGGCAGAGATAAATTGAATCCTCTTAATCAAAGTAGCTTGTCTTGTAGAATTCAAAACAGGATTAACTTGATCATATTGAATGGCAGGACAAGATTGAGTAAAAATGGTTTACTTTGTATGTTCATGTCTATATTGTCTGCATGGGCCTGAAATTCTTCTATACCTCAGCTAATGCTGCTCTTTCTTCTCTAGGGAAGAAGTACCTGTATCTCTGACAACATTTCCTTTAACTGGTTTTCTGGGTGGAGATGGTAGCTTGGTCTTTACCATGAAAATCATGACTGGTAAGATATTTCAAAGTTGTGTGAACAACTAGCCAGTACAGCTACAGTAATACAATGTAGCTTTTCCATTTTAGGAAATCTTTTTTCTTCAGACTGCTCCATATTAATGGCAAATTAATATGTATCATAAATCAAATGAATGGTTGACCAATGAGTTATAACTACACCACTAATAAACCAACAATCTAGTCCATACTGTACAAGTCAAGGGGAAGGCAATGGCCTAGTGGTATTATTGCTAGCTGTTAATCCAGAGACCAGATGACATTCTGGGGACCTGGATTCAAATCTTGCCATGGCAGATGGTGGAATTTGAATCCAATAAATATCTGAAATTAAGAATTTAATGATCATGAATCCACTGTCAATTATCAGGGAAAAACCTAACTGGCTCACTAATGTCCTTTAGGGAAGGAAACTGCCATCCTTGCCTGGGCTGGCCTACATGTGACTCCAGACCATAGCAATGTGGTTGACTCATAACTGCTCTCTGGCCAATTGGGAATGGGCAATAAATGCTGCCTAGCCAGTGACATCTTCATCTATTAATGAATTAAAAACCCCCCACCTTCCAAGGCACTTTGAGTAAAACCTTAAACAGTCATTCAAAATACTTTGAATGATCACTTGGTGCAAAAAAAGTCAGTGGTTGACTTTGATTCAGTCAAAACTACTGTAATGACACAAATCAATGTCACCCAGAGCAGTCAGATGGAGAACAAAGTCTGTATTTTAACCAATAAACTGCCCCACCATTCTTCAGATTATAATACTGTGCCAATAACTGCAATGAATTTTGTACAGGCAGTACTAAATGTTTGAAAACCTTTTTTGATGTTATACATGACAGTACTCTTACACTCTCTCTATCCCATGTTTTCAATGAGTTTGGATTGATGTAAATGAATCATACTCATGCTGTAAGTTCTTAAAGGATTGACAACTAATCCTGGCATTCATGGTGCAAATCAACTTTCTTTACAGTTACATTGTTACACTTGTAACATTGATCCAGGATTTGGATGTCCTCCAGCACCTGAAACTTTCTCCACTAGCCCACCCCATCCTGCTCTGTTCTTACTATTAGGTCTTATCAAAGATAAGTATTAAGCTGACAAGCTCCTTGATTCATGGACTTTATTTCCAAACATTGCAGACAGGCCTTTGAACCAATGTAACTGGACTTCAAGTCATTTCAGTAGACTATTAGTTAGTATTTTACATGATAAATTACTATGCTTTGTTTGAAGCAGTCACCTGATCTTCAGAATGGTTACAGCCCAGAAGGAAACTACTTGGTCTGTCAATTTTACTGGGCAATTCACCTAGTGATCTCCTCTTTCCCTACAACCCTCCAAGATTTTTTTGGAGAGTTATTGAACTTGTTTAAAATGTAACTAGTGGTTTCACCACTTGGAAGGTGCATTCTAAATGTCTTGCATGTTAATCTTGTCCTCAGCCATTTGGTTTACCAGTCACCTTAAATGAATTTCCTCCTCTTTCTTCTATGGAGAAATCCATCTCTCCCTAACCATGCCCAGCTCCATCTGAATACCCCCATTGAATCTCTTCCTTTCCAAGGGAAAACAACCTTAACACTCCCAATTGTCTACATATTTGGTTCCAACCTTGATGCCTCCACCCTACTCAAATCCAGTGTCTATACAACTGGCATTCTGCTACCAAAAATTCAGCTGCTGCATGGGAGACTTATTAAAATAACTTCAACCTTTGGTTGGAAAAGGTTAACTGAGTTGTCCCTTTATTGCCTGGGCAATGTTAATCTGCCTTTATGTGAAACTGCATAACCATTCCCCTCTGTACCTCAAGTGTTTCTATTTGCATTGATGATCAGTTAGTTTCACCACTTGTCATGACTTGAGGTTTTTGTCTTGATAGCACTTGTAAATCTGAGTCTTGCCCATCCTGTTGGCCTCAAGCCTTTTCACATTCTTGAAGATGTGATGAGGGTAGAAGATGGCTGCATGCTCACAATCTTCCATTGTTGGAATAGTATTCCAACAGATTCCCCCAATTCATGATTCCACCTTGGACATCCCCCTTCTCTGGGGTAAGTAGGCATTTGGCATAGCTTTCCCTTAACAACCCCTTGCTTTGGTTGGCTGCAACAGTTGCCTTTAACACAAGGAAAGGTAAAGACCCTTCCTGGTTTTTCCTTTGGGATTAAGGAAGAATCTTTTTTTTTTTTTTTTGCCAAAAACTAGGGGGGGGGGGGGGCAATACATTAAATGAAAATTTTAAAAAGCAGTCTTCAGCTAATCCATGAGGGGGATGGTGTTTAAATTGGGTAGTACTGGTAACACCTTCCCTGAAGACCATTAGTGAACTAGATGGGTTTCCAACAGTATTTTTTTCATGGCTATCATTTGACCCTTGACTCAATTTTTAGGATGAATTTAAATTCCTCCATCTGCCATTGCATGATTCAAATCCAGGTCCAAAAACACTCCTTGGGTTAATAGTCTGACAGTGTCATTAGGCCACCTCCCTGAGAATTGCTTTCGTATCTTGTGCACTGTCTGGGATACTGGACAATGGTTTATGATTTTTGCCTCTTTTTGCAACCACAGGACACTACATTTGAGTTCTTACATTGCATCTTTAACAAAAGTTCCTTGGCATTCATGGTCACCTATAACTTAATTTTCCAGATTGTCAATCTTGAATGTAGTTTAGTGACTTTTTAAACTTATTAACAACCTCTTGTGGACACTAATGTACAATGTCATACACCCTTCCTTAGGGAAAAGGACACCTTTGACTTGGTCTTCCTGTGCTGTGCTGCCCATCTATTGTAGATGCCTTAATCTTTGGTATCTATGAACTTTAATTGGTAAATCAACCTCAAGCTAAACAGTAATACAGTGAGGTTACAGGCTTTACCAGTTGAGTATCTTGATGCTGTGGCTCACTTTATCCTTGAGTGCATCAATTATGAAATCTATCTACAAGATCCCCAAGTGTAGTGATTCAATTTGAAATATTGTTTTTAACAGTGACACAGCAAGTCATTAAGTATCATTCAAAATAACACTCTAAAATCAAACCTGGTCATAACTTGGCAGCTGTTGTGTCTAGTTTATGGGTGGGGGACAAAAATCCTCTTGGATCAAGAGCCCATCTCAAAGGTGGAATTGAGAACTTTCATCTAATCTGATTAGGCAATGAGGAAAAATCAATTGTGACAAGTCTCAGTGAGACATCACTTTTTTTTTTTGCAAACATCAACAGTAAGATTTTTAATGCTGTAGGCTTTGAAAGTCTCCTTTCAACTGCACCACTCAAGTCTGTTAAAACACTGACAGTCCCAAACCTGTTGCTATACCCTTCATCTCCAGATTCTTTTGGATTTCACTAAGTGACATATCCACCTTGCCTCTTAACAGATCCTTTTTGTTTTCTAAAGATCATCTTCACTTTGTGAACAGAGAAGCACACCATTCCACTTCTAACATTGGTGCTCTAAAACTTCCATTATGAAGTCTCAGCACCACAGGCCTTGTCAAACTTCCCCACCAAAATGTAACTCATGCACTGTTCTACTTTAGATCCAGTTTTTTTGCACTTAGCCATACTTGAGGCTATACCAATTTCAAAACACTTCCTTGTTTTTTGTACTCTACCCCCACTTTTAAAGCCCAGGATGCTGACATTTTAATTCTCCTATCTTGCCTTGCATATCCAACTATCTCTAATCCCAGGTCTTTTGCTCCTGCACACACTTAAAACTGTACCCTTGCACTTGTATTATCTCATTCATCCTACCAAAATCAAACCCTCCCATAACTCTGTTTAACAACTTCAATGTCCTTTCTTTTGAGCAACAACATCAGCTTACAATATTTACAAGCTTTTTTGTGAATTGAAACTTACTTGGTTAGAAAACCAGTGCCCCTAAACTAGAGCAGAGGTCCTACACCTTCATTGGGGAAATCTACTACAATCTTCCTTTGAGACATGTTCATTTCTCTGTACTAGAGAAATTTCCTATCCATCCACTGTACCATGTGTCCTAAGACCTCACTTTAGGAAGTGACTTAGCAAATCTATGTACAGTAAATAAATCAGATTACCCTTGCCTACACTATCAAACTTGGTTAATAGTTTATCTTATCAGTGTGATGTATTCACTTTTCTGTTCCAGATGATTGGACTGCTGAGAGGCCAGATACTCTGTTCTTCCTAGGAGCATCTATTAACTTGGAAGCATCTGTCCTTGCCACATACCATCAAGGCATCCATCTCTATATAGAAGAATGCATTGCTACTCCAACAAGCTCTTTAGCAGAATCCCCAAAGAATTACACCATCATAAATAACTATGGGTATGAGACCAAGGCCAATTCTTTTTGAAAAAATGAACTTGGATGTAGGTTAAACTCTTCCTATTCTTTTTTAGATGTCTTATTGATGGAAAAACTGGGAATTCCAAGTACTTGCCCAGAATTAAGGAGTCTCACCTTCGATTTGTTGTGCAGGCATTTAAATTCCATGATCTGGAGGGTACTGATGTAAGTCTGGGAATAAGTGAAGTGTGGTTTTAATACACTATCTTGAACACAATGTAAGCATTAACTTTAATCAAGTGGTGAACAATAAGACTTGTAGTTTGTCAGTGTGCCCTTGTTCCAAACAAATGATTTTAACTGAACACTTGCCCTCTCTACTTCCAGCAAATGAAATTGCAACTGATCACAGCCAACTGATTCTTAATCACACTGTCACTCCCTTACTTTTGGTTTCCAATATAACCAGCTTTTAGCCCAAGTGGACTGACTTGTTTGAAGTTCTCAAAATCAGATAAACTGCAGTTGAACTTTTAAACTTCTTTACACTGAATGGAACAAGTTGGTTAGATTAATTGGAAACCTCAGGGGCATTTTACCTCCTTTAAAAGTAACCTTGAGTCATTCACATGATGAAATCAGACTTCAAATCCATTGCTGAAGGTGTAGATGTTGTCATTTTTCAGAATCTGTTGTAGGAATGTTATGGATAACATGGTGTGCATGACTTTCTCAAAACAATTCACTTTTACAGATTTATATACACTGTAAAGTTGTAGTATGGGACCCAAGTTGGAATGAACATCAGTTGCACAAAGCATGTTCATTTAATCAGCAAACTAAAAGGTGGGTAGCAGAAGTTACTTGGACATTATCTTTGCTTGAATATTTTAATGAGCAAGTTTTTAGCAAGATTTTCCAACAGAAGATGGATCAAAAATGAAACTCAAGTCCTAATCCCTCTAACACCTTGTGCTTTCCCCTTGGCTATAATTATCACTCCTCTAACACCATTCCACTTGATATAACAGCACCTCAGCTGAATCAAATTATTCATACTCAAATGTGAAACAAAATAATTTAGCAAATTTGATCCTCCAGAGATGATGACATTATGGCATGCAGTTCCCTGTACTTGAGCTCTCGGCCTTTAAATCAAACAATACAAATAAGCAGTGAGATGACTTTTGATTCTGTCCTTCAGATGGCAGCTTTTGGATGACCCATTGCAAAGTTCGAAGTGTGACTGTTGCAACACAATCTGCCAGCCTGCCCAAACTCGTCATAAACGAGGTAAAGATTTGAAGTCTGTCACTATGGGGACACATACTCAATATTACAACTGATGTTCACTTCACTTTTTTCTCTAGAATTAAAAGCTGGTGTCTTCAGTTTGATGAAAGTTGGTCCAGTGAAAGTAAACACAACTCCATTGAGATCCAGAACTTCAGGTAGGATTCAAACACAAATGTGAATGTTACCACTTGTGCCTTCAGGAACTGTTTGTGCCAGCTAATAACCATCTGGCACCTCCTAAAGCATCCAACAGGGTACTTGGTCAATGAGACTCCCTTAGCTGGGTGTAAGGATCCAGACTGACTAAATCTAACCAACACTTGACAAGATGTTAAATATTGTTTCCTATAACCTTTTTTGTTAAAGTGCTAATTTAGTTTTTAAAATCTACCCATAAATCACTACACCATTCTTTAACTATAACCCTGATGCCATTCCTTGATGTGCATTACTGACTTTTAGATAGACTACTAAATTTCAATCTTGACCATCTTTTACAGATAATCAAAAGGTTATACTTCTGGCTACCCCACTGCTGGTTTGCTTTTTGGGAGTCCTGATTCTAAGCCTGTACAAATGGAAGATCCAGCATGTACACTAGCTGGAGAAGATTACTGAAGCAAGTAAATGAGATTTGCAAATAAAACTAATTTTGCAACCATGCCCACTTTTGCAAAATTAAAGCTTATTCTATGTAAAGCCCAAGGGAATACAGCAAGTAGAATGCAAAATTCCACAAATCACAGCAAATACTGAATCTCTATTGCCTGACAACCTGCCATTTGACCTTCTCAAAGTTTGGGGGGGCAGAGCAAGAAAAGTGCAGTGGTAATAACAGCAAGGTTGAACCTGACTGAAGTATTTGTTCTTGGTATAGAAGGAAAATCTGGGCTGAATTTCCCACCCCTGCAAAAAAAATGGGCAGGTCCTCAATAGGAGGTTGAGTTGGTTTAATTTGAAATTAAGAAATTCTTCCCTTGGATAGGGAAGAGATTCCTGGCCTGAAGTCAGCTAAGGTCATAGACTTGATGTCTTTGGTAGGATTTAGATGAGTCAAGGAAATGCCCACCTTGACAATGTGGGTGTCAAATTCCTATCAGGAAGAAGCCTGTAACTTCCTGTGTAGTACTCTTAACATGCAAGGCAACAAAATAGACAATCTGCAGTGGGTTAGAATGAGTCTCAGCCAATAGAAACAGTGATCTGAATAGCCTTTCTGTTCACAACTTTCTTTGGATCTTTGCATTCTGCAATTGCATCTCATGATGCAAATCAGACAAAAGCACCTTTTAATTGCTGCTAGCTTGAGGCATAAGTATGAAATGCACAATTGTCTATTCATGTGCAGGTTACTGGTTGAATGCAGTTGAAAATTGGTCTACATTGAAGTGATTGGGAGTTGAGATTTGAATGCAAATTTGGTTGACAACTCCTTAATCTTTAACATTTCTAATCATGTGCTTTCCTCCATTCACTCCTAAAACTTGGGCTACAGCTTTCTTTGGATTTCCTAGACTCAGTCATGTTACTAAAATTTCACCCCAGAGCATCTAAATCAGAATTCTCTTTGCAATGTCAAATCCCTGCTAAGGCAATAGTTGAAAACAGATATGCTTCAATCCTGCAGTTTTACTGACTGAATTGTAGTCAGCTGGTCACTCATCCTGACTAATGCTGTCTACTCCAAATATGGGATATGTTGGAAACCCATTCTAACTTGCTGTGAGTACCAGACTGTAGTTCCTGTATTGTTTTCAGTTCAAATTTCTGAAAATTCTAGTTTCTCAATCTAATTGAGACACCAACAGGGTGGTTAACCTGCAGTCCTCAGGGTTGTGGAAGCAAGTCACTAAGACTAGATTAGAGGATCCAGGATTATGGGGAGAAAGCAGAAATAGGTTATTGAATAGACCAATCTGATCCATTTTGATTGTGGCTGTGTTTCTAATCTAAGTGTTATGGTCTTGTGGGATCCACAAGCTAAGGTTTTATCTCTTTCAGATGGTGTGACTTTAGAACTATCAAAATAACGAGTGCCTTCTCCCACTTTGTTCAAGTTGTAGCTTTCATGGGAAAAATGGAGCAACATTTTTGTGCTGAATTTAAGTTGACTACAGAAGCCAATTCATTAATCATCAATACTCTTGGGATCCCCTTACTCTGGTTTAAAGCTCTAATTCAATGTAGGTACCTTGAATGTGACCCACTATAAAACTGACCTTGGCACAGAACCTGTCTAGTATGGTCAGCAAAAGTACTGTGCACTCTTAAAGACTGATCCTAAAATTTTAGGAAGGTGGGGGAGTGATAATAGAAATCTGCATATACCTGCAAGTATGGTTCATACTAATAAGATAGTAGTCCTGGCATGGGAGCTGGGTTTGTATGGATGGAGCACAAGGAATACTGGGACACTCTCTAGGACAAGAATCAGGTTTGGGAATACTTTGCAGTCAATGATGTCCTGATCTGACATTTGTAGAGACCTTTTGGCTGAAGACAGGTGTTTCTGAAATGTAGTCTAGAGGTGCACTTAGATCGAAATCCTGAGTGTTTGTTTGAGTAATGGTCTCCAATGAGTAGGATCTCAAGTGACTAAGAAAATGGGATTAAAACTGCACTGTATCACTAGTGATCTCAGTTCAAACTTCTTTGGTTCCCAACTCTTTCCACCCTTCTGCCCCAGCTTTTAGAAACCATTTTGCTAATGCAGTATGTTGTGAAGCTTCAATTATTTGAATTTTGGTTTTTATGGATGGAAAGTAGCATACATGCAATCTGTCAGATCCTAATGGTATTGCTGCTAGATGTCTCCTGCAGACAGGTAATGAACCTGGATGCCCAGAACACCACAGCGGATAATGGAGTTTCCATTCAGCATCTGGAATGCAGTATTAACCACTAACAAGCTTCCAGAAAACCCATCTGGTTTGTTGTAATCCCTAGGGAAGGACTCTGCTGGCCTACCCACAGCAAAGTTGATTCTTAACTATCCTCTGGGCAACAGGATATTAATGAAGACTTTACCTAGCCAGTGATGCCCAATCCTTTGAATTTCAAATGTTAACCTGAAACCATATTCAACTAGTTGTCTAGTTTTGGAAACTTAAGGGATAGAAGGAATCCAGAATCCCCAGTGTAGAAACAGGCCCTTCAACCCAACAAGTCCACACTGGCCCTCTGAGCATCCTGCCCAGAATCAAACCCTGCCTCTCATCAACCCACCTCATCTACATATCCCTGAACAGTATGGGCAATTTAACACAGCCAATCCACCTAGTTTAGTCCAGGAGATCTGCTTTTTCCTCTTGGATCTGAGGTATTAGTTTGTCTTAAATTGGCATGTAATTTCCTGGGGGCTTGTAACAGAATTGACTATGAACTGGTAGATAGCATAACTTGTGATGCTGAGAACTAGCTTGTAAAGCTTGTCTCCTGACTTCCACAACATTTTGCTAACAAATGCAGCCATATTACTGACACCCTCTGCTGGCCATTCTGTAACTAATAGTTTGTCAGTTAATCACCCTCTGCATTCCCAAAGGGCATTCTTGCCAAGAGGTCAGTGTACATTAATTTAAATCATACCAGCTTATAATTGCTTTTCAATATATTTCAAGTACAAGCACATTCTAGGCTTTGTCTCCTGGATAAGTGTTCCTAAAATAACCAGTCTCTAGTAGAGGAATCTGTCCCAGAGCAAAATCTTTCACTTTAATTTCCAATAAGCTGGAAAATTTTGGGTCACACAACATCCAAGACCAAGTTGTTTCAGGCCCATGACCTCTCATAACTGTTCTTTGTCTCCCCAGATACTACTCAGTATTTCCAATACTCCTGGTTTTATTAATTGAAATCTTTAGAGTTTTAAAACCATTCCCAATTTCTCTCCCCATAGTTGGAGGTTTTAGTAGGAAGATTTGGGATTTGTTTACTTCCTGAGACTAGTTGGTTGTATTCCTAACAGGCATGTTTTTCCATAATTACCCTAACCAATCCCTTTCCTGAGGTGAAATGCAGTCTTCCAGGTGTCTGTCCAGTCTCTTAATGACTCTCCCTCCCAAATGCTGCCCTGCATTAGGAGCCAAATTTAAACATGTTTATGCATCAATTAGTACAATTGACTTAATTGTACCACAATTAAAATGGATGGTAGGGCCAGAAGAAATGAGTTATGGCTGTGATGTCATTTGGAAACAAAGGTTAAACCTTGTTGAGGGTCATCCCAAACCCTACACTCCTTGCAGACCAGCCAGGAGTAAGCTGGTCTAATCAACATGAGAATAAATAAGGGTTTCAACAATAGATGAGCTGTTGTAAAGGGAAAGTTGGATGATGCTAAGTAGGTGGAAATAGATTTGTCTGGCAATGGAGAAAATTGATCTCTGGATCAAATAACACCATTTTGAACAAACTAGCTTAACTGACCAACAATGTTGGTGAGGGATTTTGTGGGTTGGATTTGCTTTTCTTTGCAATTGAAAATTCAAGTCTCTTGTGCCATGTCTGTGACTCTTCCTGTAGAAGCTCAAGTACCATGTTTGACATTTTCCAATCAACCTGTCCAGAGATTTTTTAAACACCTGGAGCAGGTGGCACTTGAACCCAGGCTTAGATGTACAGACCCAGCCACTGTCTCAAGAAGCCCTTGTCCCTGTGTTTGCATAAGCACTCTTTCATTAACAACCAGCACACTTGTCTTGAAGGCACTAAACCACCTTGTGTTGACAATCCCAAACTGTTCACTGCAGTCTAAGCAGAAACCAGTCAGTGCAATAGTGAGTTCTAGGGTGAGGATTGGCTTAGGACCTCCCAGGAGGAGGCTATTCAGGCCTTTATGTCCATAACAGTCTTCAAAATATCTCTGGTAGATGCAACTCCATCTGTCCTGTAGTTTTTTTAAAATTCCAATTTTTCTCCTTTTTTGAAAGTCATGATGGAATTCTTAGCCTGATGGACAAATTCAAAATCCCAAGCACTTGCTGCATGCAATGTTTTCCTTTTTTTTTCTGGCAAGAGAAGCCATGTTGTACTAGAATCCTTCTGGCCCTTCTAGTTTCTCTTTTACTATCTGGTTATGATGAAAACACCTACCAAATATCAATGATAGCCCTAGCTTCTCCAGTTTATCCCCACAAGCGCAGTCCCTCATCAGAGACCAGTCTTGGAAATTTTCTGTACCCTTATCTTCCTTCCTCCAAATGTGGTGTCCAGAATTCTTCCACAGTCCAAATGCAGTTCTGTACTACTGCAATAGTACTTAAATATTGCTCACTCTTCAAATCAGTTTTCAATTTTTTGTAAGAAATATTTTAGTAGGCTCTTTCATTGGACTTTCATGTCAGTGCTCAGTTGAAGTGAGCATTATTGACAGCCAAGCTTTTATCCCCCTTTCTCCTTGTTGTTTCTAGACAAATACTTGTCTGATCTCTCTCCAAATGAGAGCTCCCTTGATCCACAATTGTGGATAGTGGCACACTGGCTACAGGGCACTTGCAACATCCAAAACTTTTTTGCCTGATTTCCACTTCACCCCCAACCACCTGAGATGTTTGCCACAGCCAAGATTGAACAGTCATAAATTTAGCTATTGCTGCAGGCCTCCTTGGTGACTTTTTTTCCTCTACACTGCTGAAACTGTACAGTAGAACTTTTTTTGGAGTTCTATATAGCCTTTTTCCAAAATGCAAACCAGTCCAGTCCACATTTTGGAGGAAGGAAGATAAGGGTACAGAAAACTTCCAAGACTGGTCTCTGATGGACTGCGCTTGTGGGGATAAACTGGAGAAGCTAGGGCTATCATTGAGATTTGGTAGGTGTTTTCATCAGTCCAGTTCAACAATACAGCACAGTTGACCTGCCTATCAGTCATCTTGCTCTGTCGTTTTTTTTTTTCTTCTTTTGGTCACACTTTGGTTTAAATGTTAAACCATTCATCTGCTGCTCCTCGATCTGGTTCACACTTTTTTCCTTTTCTGTTGGGTCTGTAGAATCTGCCAGTTGGCCCATGCCAAGTTGTTGGGCTTCCTTTTGAATTGCTGCCATGCTTTTGCTGATGGTGGTCTAAAATGAAACCAGCCACTCAAGGACACTAACCTCCAAAGAGATTGGGCACTTAGACAAACAGGACCTGCTTCTGAAGGTAGTGAATCTGTGGATTTCCTCACTGGAGAGGGCTGTTGAGGTTCCATTTAACTCACTTTTAGGCTGTGATAGATCACGCTTTAAACCTGTAATGGAATTATGGGGATTGGGTAGGAAAGTGGAGTTGTCACAGCCTTGGATGGCAGGATAGGCACAGAGTCAAATGGCCTACTTCTGCTCATAATATCATGGTCCCATAAGTTATTCACTTTTTTCTCAGTGCTCCTTGGCATTCCAGGATGCCTAAAGCATTGTAACATGAATCTGAACAAATTTAAGTGTACATCTGCTTGATCACCAGCCAGGGTGTTCCGGTTCCTCACTTAGTGAAATATTCCTCATTTCTAACACCATCCCCCTACACTATAGTAACTTCAGTACTAACACCTGCAGCTGATACAATGCTGGTGATGGTTACAATACTTGTACGTTGTATGAACTCTCCCTTTGTGCTATAGCCATGGCAGCTTGTTTGTAATACCCTCTGACAGGTTATCAAGTTGACCCCATCTTTCAGCTGCCCTCAGATCTCTAGGTTTTAAGCTCTGATCAAATGACCAAAATTTTTCTGACTTTTCTCATTTCCTCACCATCACCACTTTTTTTAAGATCTATCTTTACTCTTGAGTTTTCAATTTTTAATAAAATTCATATGGTCTCTAAATGGAAGCATCACCATCCACATTTCAAGCCTCTATTTTCTTCTGCAGTTATTTACTTCCTATCTCTTTTCCTGTACCTGTTAATGTTTTCCTTAGTACTGTAATTCATTGTTCACCTTTTACAACTTAACTTTAGCAGCCTCTCCCAATTCTAACAGCTTCTGCAACATATCTACCATATTCAGTTCCTAGCTGTCTTAAACAGGCCTACTTCAAGCTGTCCAAGTGTCACACTTTACACTCAATTTTTAAGTGTATCCCTGTTTTTTGTGTTCGTACTTTACCTATATTAAACTTTTTTCACCGGACCTATGACATTTTACATAGCCTCTCCCTGGACACAAATGTCAACAAAACATGTGCAATAGTCTTTCCAAGCATGGCTCAAGTGCACTGTAAGCACACTGGGGGCCACATGAAAGGAGTCTTTTTTGCGCTGCATGGATAACAAACTATAGTAGCAGCAAAGGATCAGCATTGAGTCATTAATGATTCAGCACTGATATGTGCAATTGACTTGTTCCAGGCTGTTTATGGAATAAATTGGCTTCCTCCAAACTGGATTGATTCCACCTCCCTTCTCTTGCTCCACTCCACTTCATCCCACCAACCCCCCACATGATTAAATAGCAACATTCCCTCCAATGTCTTCTTTTCTTCTAGGCAAAGCAATAGCTGTTCAGTCTAGTTTGTCAGTCATTCTAGACCAAGTTGCTGAATATGCAACAGTGACAGTACAGAGAGTTTTATACTTTTACTGCCAACTTTTTTTTTTCCCTCCCATGCTCAATTATAAAAGATGACTTTTGGCCCATGAAGACTGGTGCTATTTCAGTTTTTCTTTAGCCCTGTTACTTTCTTTTCCCCCAAATATTTCATTCCATTTTTAATGATTGAAACAGCCATTCTCCCAATGCTTGCTCGGGTTCAATTTTATCACATTAGCCCTTCATGATTCTTGCCCAGGTAAGAGCTCAAGGGCACTTTTTATTTTGCACCCCAACCAAGTGGGCATTATTCAATAAAGTCTAGGCTATGAGGATCTTGCAATTCCAATAACTTTTAGCATGTTACACCCCTAGGACACCCACTTGAACTATACAAGATTGAGTGCTGTTATACAACATGCTAATATATCCTAATATCTCAGCTTTGTCGAAGAGAGTTAATTCTATTTTAGTCTACATGTAGACAGTAGTGGATCTGTGCAGCTGAGATCTTTGAGTTATTTCAAGTTCACATCTCATTCAATGCCCCTCATATGACAAATTAACTCTAATAGAGTTCTCATTCTAAGAAACATGCATAATCCAAAGAATTGATTTTGGAAATCAGAGTAACAAGACCAGAAAATAATAACTCATGACCAAAGTCTAGATCTGCACATGAAGTACAAGAGCCTATTTCTGTCCTGTAAGCTGCTTCTTTTAAATGTCCTTGCTGGTATTTCTTAGGGAATAGTGCCAAGAAACTGATATAAATTGGGCAGATTTACCATTGTTTCCATTAAATTGAGCTTTGAAAGAATTATCTGATTTATCTCTTGGATTCTCATATGGCCTTAAGTGACCAGAAGCTTAGAAATGTGAAAAGTGACTGGTGGGGGATCTTGTAAATTTTAACTATCTAATTTTAGTGAGATATTTCATTCCTTTGACACTTGCTAGTAAGTGCAAAGGAGATGGGTTCAGCTTTAAAACAAACTGACAAAAACACTGTACTATCTCAATACTGCTGATTCACCAATTCAAGTATTAATATTGTTGAGAATTTTCATTTAGAACAGTATGCAAATCTCTACTAGTGGGAATTAATATAATTTGATATACTGTACATATCTCAATTAAAACTGCAGACATGGAAACCTCCTCACTAATAATCATAAGCATACAGCACATAAACAGTCTATGCTGAACATAATCCCAAACTAAACTAGTCCCACCCACCTCTCCTGGCATTTATGTACTTATCTAAGTGTCTTTTAAAAGGTTAAAACTGTGCCTGCATCCTCCACTTGCTCAGGAAGTACATTCTACATGCAAACCACGCTCTGTGTAAAACAAATTTGCCCCTCCTTTTTTTTTTCCCCCAAATCTCTCTCCTCACCTTAAATATATGTCCCCTAGTCTTTAAATTTCCCCATCCTAGGGAAAAAGCTACCTACCCTTAACCCTGTCTATACTCCCCATGGTTTTATAAACCTTTATAAAGTCACCCCACCTGACTATTTTGTGCCCAACTGTTTTGTAGGAGCTACAATATGGGGCCTTACTAGTAATGTGGCACAGATTTACATCTGGTTTCTCCTAAAGAGAATAGTTGATTATTACAAAGCAGGCCTATCCAATTCTTATCTCCAGGAAACACCAGTATTACATTTCATTGGATTTTAGATCTATTGTGAAGGTCGAGGAGAACTTTTGTCAAGTTGTGTCTCTAGGCCCACAAAGCACAAAAAGTCAGATTCTGACTGAAAAATGCTTTACAAATTCAGACTAGTTTTACAGTAGTGAAATATGATGGATATTTGTTCAGTATTTAAAGCTACTGTACAATTGAAGGATGTGGGTATCCCATCTTCGGGTCATTTGACACCTGTATTTTCAGGGATACTCATTTAATTCAACGTAATGGCGACATTCAAAATCATTCCCTAACTACTCAGTTCCTGAAGAACGTGTGTATATAGAGAGGTTTTCAATTTTCTTGTACAAAATTGATATTGTACAGCAGTGTTTGATTACAAGGATCAACAAGTACCTACTTTCCAGAATTTCATATAAAGCCCACTGTCTCAAAAAAATGGAGACTAGTTCTCCAGAGTTGGAGTACAGAGTTCATTGCCTTGCAATGTAATTTAAAGTTTATAGCGTACACAAATATTAAACTGGCTAAAGTTCCAATTGCCTTTGGTTATGGTTTGTGTTTTTCTTCTGATCCATATAGCTTTCTTAGTGTAGAATCCAAAAGAAAGTCCACAGACCTGCAAAGAGTAATACGACCGTGTTAATGAACTGGAAAATGCTTTATGAAAAGAATCACATCAGCACAAGATTTTAAAAAACACCCATCAGGCATGTGGCTTTACTAGACTTGCCTCCTTTATTCCTAATCCTTGCATGGTTCCATCTGTCATTCCAGCAAGTCACTGCTGCATCTATAAAGACTTACATCCATCTCCCTGCTGCCAATTCTCAACCTGCTTTCACCTGCAAGAAAGCCTCCTCACTGGCTCCCAGGTTAAAATGCAATCAGATTCCTTGTGACCTGATCAGACTTCACTTCACTAGTTCACATGGCACATTATGATTTATAGGCAGCCATCTCTGAACCTTGCAGAATAGGATCATAAAAACAGAAAATAGGTGCAGGAGTAGGCCATTTGGCCCTGCACCACCATTCAATATGATCTTGGCTGATTGGGAATGGGATGCTGAGATTGCACACTTTCTCTCCATACCCCTTGATCCCTTTAGCCACAAGGGCTGTGGCCAGCTCCCACTTCAATATATCTAATGAATTGGGCCCAAGAGAATTATGGGAGAGGGTAAGTTTAAAGGGGATAACAAAGCTGGTTGGTGCTAACTGCCCCACTATCTGATTTCTACCAATCAGGATTAAAATCAACCTTATGTATATAATACAGTAAAAGTCAAATAATTTATGACAACACCAAGAGCGGCTTCTATGAGGACAAGGGATTGAAATCTAATCTGTGAAACGGAGGCCCTATGGCTTAAATCCTACTGGATCTAAAACAGAAAATCTGCTATTGACTTAGTAGACCTACCACTGTAGTAGAAATCTACTTCTCAGCATCGGTACAGTGCAGTGTGTTAGTAGGAGATCGGGGTTCTCTGCCATCCGTGACCTGCTACAAGTTTCGCCAAAATAAAAAAGCAAACTGCAAGTGCTAAGATAATACACAAGCTCAGCTCAATGGCAAGAGTAGCAGTTTCTCACTTTAAACCCATTCCCTACAGGGTTTGAAAAGCTGAATCATTAATCCATTGATGAGGAGTGTTCCATACGTTATTTAAGATTTCAACCTCCTTCGAAATACAGCTCTACAAATACTGCTGAAAACTTGAGAAATAATAATTTATGTAAATACATAGGATTTCTTGTGGAAACAATGTCTTTTTCAAATATGCAAAATTTATGAAGTTTGATCATAAGTCCTGTATCAAATGGAGTGTGTGTTCACCATTACTATCACTGTGAAGGCAATACCACTTTTAGCACTTAGTCTTTAGGGCATCATTTGTCAGCCTCAACAGATATTTACAACTTAGTTCATTAAAAAGGAACAACTGCATGTCCTTAGAGCCACAAAAAAATAGTCTCATTAACATCATTGATTAATTTCACTGGAACTACTGTTCAAATGAATCTACAACCTTGGGATAAAGACAAAGCAAAATTTAACAACAGACTGCATAATACCACTTGGTGAACAGTGCAAGTGTCTAATTAGTTCTGTCCAATGTCAGAGATTCAATAAGTTAAGAATTATTGAAAGTCTGCTATTTTGAATGGGAGTTATGCAAACCAAAAGCTAAACATGGGAGCAAGATTACCCTGATTGCTGTTTGTACATAAGTGATCCAGAAAGCAAAGTGGTTAAGGCTCACCAGAGTATTTCTCCAGTCTGTCATCTCAAGCAGCTAATATCTTGGTTTATATGCAATTAATCCATCTACCACCTTGGTTTTTCAACAAATTACAAAGTATGAAACACTTAACTGTTAGCATCCAAGTAAAGGGCTTACCGGTCAATGGGAGTTATAATAACTGGGATGGCAGACAAGCCAATAGCAGTTGTCGTCCACTTTCTCACAGGCAGTGGCCACCTTGTAGTTTTCCCAAGTAACAAAAGGGAAGCTGCACACAATCGATTGATGGTGAATCCTGGAACTACAACCGAGGCCAATGCCTGCCAGATGAAAGTATCCACCACAGCAACACCAACAGTCATAGCTTTTCCAGGTTTGTCTCCATGAGCCTAAGTGGGGTTGGTAGAGTGAGGATTATTAGGATCTTGAGCACTTTATTGAAAAGGAAATTTAAAATCTTAAAATTGGCAGTTTTGAATTTTAAAAGTGTTTTAAGTACAGACCTACACTTGGGAACAAACTCTTAGAGGATTGGGAAGAGTGAGATTCAAACCTATACCATACTTTGGTGCACTGTAGAGGTTTAGAGTCAGGGTTTACAATTGGAGGTTATCATCATTATGTACACCTATTGCATTTGTGTCTGTTTCTTGCCCTGCACTAGCCCTCCCCTAGATAATGTACTCTAGTCCTACTATCCCAGTGCAGTTTTCTGGCAGGGATGTGGTTTAAGCAACCAGGCAGCTCAATGTCTGTCTACTGCTTATGGGTTGACTGTGGCCCAGATTATGATCCTCAGTCGAAGATAGCACAGCTGACTTAAGGAGTCACAGCTAAAGCTCTGTGACTCAATATAGAAACAAGTTATCATCAGGCCTGTCTCTGACCAACACATTGTACTGATGCCTATTACTTATTTTTTAAATTCATCCACAGGATGAAGGGCGTCACTGGCTAGGCGGCATTTATTGCCCATCCCTAGTTGCCCAGAGGGCAGTTAAGAGTCAACCACATTGCTGTGGGTCTGGAGTCACATAGGCCAGACCAGGCAAAGATGGCAGCTTCCTTCCCTAATAGGCCTTAGTGAACCAGGTGGGTTTTTCCAACAATCAACAATGGATTCACTGTCATCATTAGATTTTTAATTCCAGATATTTATTGAATTCAAATTCCACCAGTCATGGTGGGATTTGAACCCGGGTCCCCAGAATGTTATCTGGGTCTCAGGATTAACAGTCCAGTGACAATACCACTAGGCCATCACCTCTGTATTTACTCTCCTTGCTGGGAGCAGCATTGTAACCACAGAGCATTAGTGAAAACCTCTTCAACATTCTATCAGAGTTAACTTTTATGGGAAGGAAATTTCCAGAGTGACAGTTTTTAATACACCAAGCATTCTTTAATTAAAACTTCCCTCGGCAGTTTTAACTATTCTTCATACATACTATCAAAATCTAAATGCATCCTATACAATAGGAACGTTGTTTGTGGGTTTATTTTCTCTGTAATAAATACAGTTTGTGTTATCGCGAGTCTGGTTTGATCAAGCTGGAGTGGTAGGTGGCAGACATTGTGCAGGTGCAGTAAACTTTAACCATAAAACTATAAAAACTGTAAACTAGCAAGAAATATTGCGTTGGGTAGCAGTACATTATCTAGGGGAGAACTAGTGCAGGGAAAGGAAAGAAATAGTATAGTAATAGATGAGCACCAAAACAACAGGCAAAAGTAAAAGTAATACATGATAACTTCCAATAGAAAAGCCTGACTCTAAACCTTTGCAGTACACCAAAGTTATAGCCAGTAAATCGGCTTCTGGCATTACAAGTCGAAAATAGAGTTGTCACTTGTAGAATCAAAGAATCCCTAGTGTGGATACAGGCCATTCGGCCCATTGAGTCCACATCGACCCTCCACAGAGCATCCTAACCATACCCAACCCCCTACCCTTTCCCTGTAACTCTCACTTACCCATGACTAATCCACCAGGCCTGCACATCCCTGGACATAATGGGCAATTTAACATGACCAAACCACCCTAACCTGCACATCTTTGGACAGTGGGAGGAAATTGGAGCACCTCCACAAGCAGAATCCATAATTACCTTTTACTATTATTCCAAAAACAATGTATTAAATGGATACTTAAAAAAGAAATACGCTTGTAAAGATCTTTTAAAAAGTCACAAATTGTTTTTCAGACTATTGAAAAGCTAAGCTTAAAAAAAAAGTCTTATCCATTCATAAAAGAGACTCCAGGATTTCAATGTGAGCAGTTTCTGCAAGATACTAAAATTAAGTGATGGTTAACCCATCTCTTTTCTACATAGGATGGCAGGTATCTTGAACGATTAGGACGCTCCAAACTTTCCATTCTCCAAGTGCAATCATTCAAGTAAATGTAGAGGGGCAAGGGTGGTAGAGGCAGGAACCATCAAGATATTTAGGAAGTATTTAGATGAGCACTTAATACACCATAACACACAAGGCTAATGGGTCAGATGCTAGAAAATGTGATTCGAATAGATTCACGCTTGACGACCAGCGTGCACATAATGGGCCGAAGGGCCTTTTTCCATGCTGTAACACCTTTTTGGTTCTGGCCAAATAAAACAGAATGATTTTCAGTAGACGTATTTCGGAGGGAGAGAAACTGGAAGGAACGGAAAGGTTAAGATTGGAATTGTTATTCATCAGCAAACGTGAAGACACATATCCCATTGCCAAGAACCAGCAGAGATGGAATAGGATAAATGGCCTCCTTCTATGCCATGGCCATTCTATGGTTCCATGCATCTCACCAGAAAGAAAACCTATTCAGACAACAGTGAAGCCGATCATTCGGCAGATGCTCTAATTTATGCTTAAACATCTTTAACAGGGCTACCCTCTGCAATAGTCAGTCCTACCAGCCTCCTTGTCGTTCTTTTCTCAACATTACAGCTTATTGTATTGGAAGTGAAGTTCTGGCAAAGTTTACTTAATAATTAGGACCTGATATTCAACCTGACCCTCAACCAAATCACAATGTGGAACAGCAGACAGACACACACACACACCCACGTGTACACTAGGAGACTCACATTTTGTTTCAATCTTTGACATGTTAATAGTTCTCTAACACAAATGCTGAAAGCTGCTCAAAACCATCTTAATTTAAAATGTCACATTGATTGATGTATAGTGCGCAGAGCAAGATCATTCAATACGTTAAAATTTGTACTTACAACAGCCGCTTTCTTTCCCTTGTCAACTGCATCAGCTGTAACATATGCAGTTGATATGCCATAAGTAGCCCAGACCAGTCCTACAGGTACTAGTGCCCGGAATGCTTCACCAACTTCATTGGCATATCCTTAATCCACCAAAAAAGATGAAAACAAAAAATCAGTATGTTGAAACAAACTCAGTCTGCTGTCCTTACACTTATAGGTCTCTCAAGGCCACTCTCCGCACAGCTAGGCCAGCTGGCTTCCTGATCATTCTCGAACAAGTCCCGGACCTAGGGTGATAAAATCACTAACAATAAAAGTAAACAACTGTGGATGCTGGAGATTTGAAACAAAAACAGAAATTGCTGGCAAAACTCAGATGAAGAGTCACCAGACTTGAAAGCGTTAACTTTGCTTTCTCTTCACAGATGCTGCCAGACCTGCCGAGTTTCTCCAGCTATTTCTGTTTTTTTGTTTGTGATAAGTTCACGGCCATGGAGCCTGTGCTGTTCAGGAGCTTGAAATTGAATAGTGTTGACATGATCTTGAACAGTGATAATAAAAATGTTGAGAAATTCAATTACTAAATGTAACATGCACGTTATTGTTAGTATTTCTGCATTAGCAACTCACCAACATTTTATTGAAATTAACTTTATTTCCTCCCATTGCAGGTGAATATTCTGGGAATGAAATAGCAGTGATTTAAGCTGCTTCAGTTTCTTTCATATTGTAGAATACATTTCTTAAGCAAATATTGAAAAAGTTACACATTATTTTTTCACAGACTTTAAAAGTACTTTCGCATGCAATGTGGGTCCTTTGTACAGTTTATTCAAGACCAGTACGCAAGCCCTCAGCAACACAGGTACTGTCAGACTGTGTCAATAGAAACTGATAAGACTTCAGCTTATCTATCTCCAAATAATGCAACCAGCCAGCACACATTGAAACAATACTAGCAGCATACAGATACACATTATTAGTTTCATAATGCAAACCATCGATACTTAAAAAGGAGAAAATATATATTCCCAAAAAAGAGAGAAGAACTTTCTTTACAGCTGAATTTAATACTAAACCTTAGCCACGAATAGATTACTTTCCTGAACAAAGGAAAAAAAAAATCAGAGACTAGATTTCTTTTCAACATAAATAAAATTAAGAACTATAAACATTGCAACAGCTCGAGATACTCTACAACATTGCTAAATAAATAAGAAACAACTATGACTTTGCATTTAATTGACTAAGGGAGAATAAACATTAGTTTTTCTGACTGGAATCCAGGATGCCCAGTGCCAGAGTTATGACTGATTTTCATGTTACATATATTATCAATGATTTGATTTGGGTATTTACAGTCATAGATTCATACAGAATGGAAATAGACCTATTGGTTCAACTCGACCGCACCAACCAGCCATCCCAATCTACCTAGTCCCTTTTGCCAGCATTTATCCCATGTCCATCTAAACCCTTCCATATGTAGTACAACATTGAAGTTTGCAGATGGTAGAAAACTTGACAATACAAGTTATTGTGCATTGCACACTTGAGAAGGATTAGATAGACTGGCAATCTGGGTAAACAGATAGTAGATGCAATTTAATGTGAACAATTGTGTAATGATGCATTTAAGGAGAAATAACAGAGAGCCAATACAATCTAAAGTACACCATTCTGATCCAGATACAAAAGAAGTAGAACCTGGGGAAGCATATTCACAAATCTTTGAAAGTGACAGAGCAAGATAATAAAGGAAAGCTTGTAAGATATTCGCTTTATAAATAGAGGCACTCAACTCAAAATCAAGAAAGCCATGTTAAAACTATACAAATCTCTGGTTCGACATCAATTGGAATATTGTGAAAAATCGGATGCAACACTTTAGGATGAATGCCAACATCTAGGGGAGGATACAAAGATAGTTACCAAGAATAATATCAAAGATAGGGGACTTCAGCTAAAGATTTGGTAAAGAGATTGGAGAAACTGAGACAGTTCTTAGAACAGAGAAGGGGCAGAGGTGTACTGTGAAGGTGTCAGTAGCTAGAGATCCTAGGTGTAAAACAATTGACAAAAACATAGACATAGCAAGAACTGCAGGTGATGTATTCAGAGATAACATAGCGTGGAGCTGAAGAAACACAGCAGGTCAGGCAGCAGAGGAGCAGGAAAGTTGACGTTTGGGTCGGGAAGAAGAGCGCCAACCCGAAACGTCAACTTTCCTGCTCCTCTGGTGCTGCCTGGCCTGCTGTGTTCCTTCAGATCCACACTTATCTCTGAAAGAAAACGTAGAGGTTTGTTAAGATCCAGAATGCATTACCTCAAAGGATGATGAAATCAGATTTAATTGGAACTTTCAAACATTCTTGAACATTTTTTTGAAAATTAATTATCAGTGTCCTGGGGAACAAAACTCGAGTGTAGGACTAAATTACACAACTCCTTTAAAGAGCCAATGCATGCATGAATATCTTCCTTTTATCAATTCTAAATTTGTCTTTCACGACTGTGAACTGGTGTCCTCTTGAACTACTCATGCGAGTTGCTCAGGTGATTTTCCAGATTTGCTGTTAATATCCTACATATTATATAATGTATAATGTTACAAATATCCTCTAAACAAACCTATTCAGATGTGTTAATGACACATCTCTGCAATTGTGCAGGACCTAAACCCAGGCCTTCAGGCCCGGAGTGAAGGGCATTACTACTGCACCATAGAGCCCTTACACACTCTGTTATATATACACACTTTAATTAGATCATCTCTCGTATATCTTTCAAGCTCAGACCTAAGCTGTTAGGAATACCCACATGACTCTTATGTGTGATCTCATTGATTAATGCTCCCCATTGGTTGGCCATGTTGAATATAGATCTTTAGCAATTTGTCTTTCAACTTCAAATACAGGATATCCATTGCAATGTAATGCACAGGCTATATGTGCCACATATTTTCCCTCTTTCCCTGCAGTACCTGACACTAATTTGGATGAACTTTTTATCTGCAATTTTCTTCAAATGTTTACACATTTTGTTAAATTTCAGTTTCTTTGTCTTTCTGATTTCATTACGCCTCCTAGTTGTCTATCATTATTTTCACATTTAACCAGTTTGCATAAGTTAGTGCTCCTGGATAGTCCTCCTTATGATTTTAGGGGCATCGGTTTAGTACCTTCCCTTTTCAAACAAAATTTCTCCAACAAGTGACAACTGCTTTCTACCCATTGACCAATTTATAATCCATTTCCAAAGATTTTACCCATAACCCCATCTTTGAGCTTGACTAACAGTCTTGGTTGCAAATAACTAACTTCACAAGGGAGTGTAGCTGTGTTTTATTCTAGCCGTAATGTCTCTTTTCCAAGATCTTTGTTTTGCAGCTACTACACATCCAGAGTTTAGTTCTACAAATACATTGAAATAAGTCTGCACATGCAACAATTTTAAAAGTTTTATCTAAAGATCAGCACCATACAACAACTTACATTTAAATACGCTTGTAAAGTGATAAAATGGTCCAAGAATCTTTGCGAGAGCATTATAAAACAATATGATGGCAAGCCATTTGAGGAACAAAGGAAAGGAGTAGGCCATTCAGTCCATCAAACCTCCCACCACCATTCAGTACAATTGTGGCTAATCGAACACTTCAGTGCCTTTTTCTGCCCCAAAACCTTGTGTGCCACTAGTAATCAGAAATTTGTCAATCTCTAATTTAAATGTACTCAAAGACTGAGCTTCCACTGCTCTCTGTGGGAGAGAATTTCAAAAGTTAATAACACGGAGTTAAAAAAAATTCCTCTCAACTCAGATCTGAGTTGCATCACCCTGCACTTAATTTTTAAATTATGCCCCTGGTTTGACACTCCCCAACCAGGGGAAGCATCTTACTTGTATCTACCTTGTCAGTCCCTTTACATATTTTCAATGAAATAACTTTTCATTCTTCAAAACTCTACAGAATACAGGTCCAGTTTGCCCAATCTCTTTATAGACAAGCCAGCCATCCCAGGAACAAGTCTAGTGAATCTTCATTACACTCTCCCTTCAGTAACATGTCTGGTCGGCATGGACATGTTGGACCCAAGGGTCTGTTTCTATGCTGAAAGAATCTATGACTCTATACTATCTTTCCTAAGATAAGGAGGCCAAAACTGCACACAGTACTCTAGGTGTGGTCTAATCAAGCTCCTATGCGATTGAAGCAAATCTTCATTATCACTGTACTCAGATCCTTTTCTAATAAAGACTAACATCCCATTTGCCTTCTTAATAGCTTGCTGCACCTCCATCGTAGCCTTTAGTGACATCAAAGGAAAAAGGCAAGGTGAAAAGGTTGGGGGCAAAATTCCAAAGCTTCGAACCTAGGAACTGAAGTGACAGCCACCACTAGCAGAGGGATAAAAATTAGATATATGCTCATGAGGTTGATGTTAACTTGTAAAGCTTGCAGAAATGCCACTAGTTAAAACGTGAACATAGCCAGAATTCAGACTCGGAGGTTAATGTACATTAAGAGTGAAATGAAGTAAAATTGCTTGGAATGGCAGTCTGACTTCACTGAAAAGACCTTCACATCCAGTTTTTCAGATGCAATGCTAGGCTGAAGCCACTTTGGACCAATGTTATACACAAGGTACGAATCTGTTAGAAACAAAAACAGAAATTGCTGGAGAAACACAGCAGGTCAGGCAGATTCTTTGAAGAGAAAATAGAATTAACACAGAGTGCAGTGACCCTTCTTCAGAACAAATAAATAAGAATGAATCTGTTGTGACTTTTTGATTCTTAACTTTAAAGCCATTGAAGCTCTTCCTCTCATTCAGCTCCCAATCCCTCTCTCGTGGAGAAACGACTATACTCAACAGCAAAAAATTATCTTGCCCAACAAAATCGTGTTTGCTAAATAAGGAATTGTCCAGATTTCCTTCTATCTGAGAACACTGAAAAGCAGTGAAAATATTTTGGTTATGCAGACGAGTACCCACAGGCCTGGTGGGGAAATCCCCAGCGGTACACATACTTCACACCAGCGTGAATGATACAGAGCTAGGCCTCTGTCAGCTTGCTTCAAAAGTACACTGTTACTAATGGGTCCTTACCCTGTCCTTTCACAGTTGTTACTCTTGTCATCACATTTTCAAGCTATGTTTATTTAATGGACCCCTTATTTTTGGCTGAGACTTCAGTGTCCACCTCTGGTACCCTTCAGTTCTATCTGGTGGGTGGGGAACACATCGCCATACATTGGATAGTTTCACAGAACTCGAAACTAGAATTTAAGAAGCACTTTGTAAAATGACTTCTCTCTGAGTCAGCAAGCATGTCAGTGTGAAATATGAGGAGTAGCCGCACTGACAGCGTGGAGCTTACACTAACTTTGTTCAAGGTTATTTATTGTCCCATACTCAGAACTAAAAGAACTCGAAGCGTGAATTATATTTTCATTTTTCAAAAAAAACGGAGGATTTGCTGCTTTAGTCGCGGATGTACGAGATAAAATCCCGGAACTGGAGTAGAATCGGGATTAAAGCCCAGCCTGGATTCTCCCTCCCGAAACGCTGAGGGGGAATTTCCGGACTGCTTCTTACCCAGAAACCGGACCCAAGTGTCCCGATAGATATCGGCCTTGTCCTGCCCTCCCGGCTTGCCCATCCTGCTCCCGATCCTGATGTTAGCCACGCCGCAGCAGCCGATACATTGACCAGGAATGTAACCAATCCACTGTCACAGTCAGCCTTTCAGACAAAGCTGCAAACATCCGCCTCTGACACAAATAGCAGACGTAGGGCTATGTTATAGAGAGATGCTGAATCCGCCCTCACAACGCTGTTTGCCAAACGGGTTCATTTTAAACACACTTCTCCTTCTCTCCCACAGCTCCAGACCCACCCTTTAATGAGAAGATGGGCAGGAATTCACCAACCACACGTAAGCTTTCAGAAACAGATCCTCCCATTTATCCTGCAATATTAAAATACGCCATAACCAAAGTTGCAAATAGTTACAAAATTCCAACACGTTCAAGAAGTCATGCTATTTGCCCTCGGCAACTGCAAAATAACTTCCAAAGGAGATAGAAAGGACTGCAGATGCTGGAAGTCAGAGTCAATAAAACATGGAACAAAAACAGAAGAGAGATAACAAGGTGTAGAGCTGGATGAACACAGCAGGCCAAGCAGCATCAGAGGAGCAGGAAAGCTGACGTTTCGGGTCTAGACCCTTCTTCAGAAAATCTACCTCTGAACAAAAGCAGAAGTTGCTGGAAAAACTCAGCAGGTCTGGCAGCATCTGTAAAGAAAAAATCAGAGTCAATGTTTCGGGTCTGGTGACCCTTCCTCAGAACGGACCCGATAAAACGTGGAGCTGGAGGAACCCAGGAGTCCTGGTGAAGGGTGCATCCTGTACTACAGTAAACTCCCTTCTGAATGACCGTCATCCCAGCACGTTCTTCGATCATGTTGTATTTACAAATTCTGAGGAAACGTAATGTCAAAGTATAGTTTGTGGCGGCTCCAGCAAGAGATTTCTAAGCCTTTTAAATTGCTTGAAAAGAAAAATAACTCTTACCCACTTTTTCGTTTTCCACCTCCCATGATACATTTCTTCCCTGGTTGAGGGAGGGGAGTGTAGAAAGGAGACTTGGCTTTGGGCTGAAAGAACTAGTCTCAGCTCGCTGGGGAGTAAAGCACTGGCTGGCCCAGCATTTATTGCACATGCTTAAAGCCATCTTAGGTTTGTTCAATACATTCACATCATTTCTCTGACGCTTTGATCTTTTGCTCATAAACTCTGTGTCTGATGCCATCTCTCTCACTGACACCCGAGGAAGGAGAGAGACTTTGGAAGCTTGCGACTTCAAATAAATCTGTTGGACTATAACCTGGTGTTGTGTGATTTTTGACCTTGTCCATCCCAGTCCAACACCGGCACCTCCACGTCACAGGTAGCATACGGACAGCGCTGTTAGGAATTCCAGGATTTTGACCAGAAAATACATTTGTATCCCTTTTCTTTTCTGGCAGGGAAGCATACGGCTTTCTATGGTAACACTGAATGAATAGGAAATCTATCACGTGAAAGCATATGCTCTATGGGTGACCACCAGGACAGGCAGGCAGCTAGCGTAGGAGTCTCCTGTATTCCCCTCCCTAACAGGTATACTGTTTTGGATACTGTTTAGAAGGGGGGGGAGGTGCTCTCAGGGCTGTATAAAAGCAGCAGCTAGGCCTGTGGCATCACAACTGGCTCTGCTGTAGAGCAGCATTGGGCAAGATCCAAGTGAGCGAACGTGGTCAGAGACTTGCTAGTTTGGGGCACAGACAGACGTTTCTGTGGCCACATCTGAGACTCCAGGATGGTGTGTTGCCTTCCTCGTGCCAGGGTCTCCGTGCAGTTGAACAAAATTCTTAAGTGGGAGGGTGAGCAGCCAGAGGTCATGGTGCACATTGGTACCAACGACACTGGTAGAAAGAAGGATGAGGTCCTGCAGACTGAGTAGAAGGTGAAAAACAGGATCTCGACAGTAATCATCTCTGGGTTACTACCAGTGCCATGTGCTAGTGAGGCAAGGAATAGAAAGCGAAGGAGCTGGTACGGAAGCAGGGTTTTAGGTTCTTGGATCATTGGGACCTCTTCTGGGGCAGAGGTGACCTGTACAAGAGGGACAGGTTGCACCTAAACTGGAGGGGAACCAATATCCTTGCAGGATGGTTCACTAGTGCTACTCGGGGGGTTTAAACTAGAGTGGCAGAGAGCTGGGAACAAGAGCAGCAGGTCAGCAAGTGGGGGGATTGAAGGCAAGGTAGACATTAGGACCAGTAAATCAGAAAAAAAGGATAGGCAAAGACATGTAAATGAACATGATGGTACTAATGGACTGAGGTGTGTTTATTTCAACACAAGGAGAATTAAAAGGCAAGGTAGATGAGCTTAGAGCCTGGGTCAGCACATGGGACTACAATTTTGTGGCCATTACAGAGACTCGGTTGAGAGAGGGACAGGACTGGCTGCTCAACGTTCCAGGGTTTCATTGTTTTAAACGAGATAGAGGGGAAGGTCAAAGAAGTGGAGGAGTTGCGTTACTATAATCAGGTAGAATGTTACATCTGCACTCAGAGAGGACATACTGGAGAGCTCATCCACTGAGGCAATATGAGTAAAGCTCAAAAATAAGACAGGTGCAATCAGTCTGATAGGATTATACTGTAGGCCCCCCAACAGTCACCGAGACATTGAGGAACAAATATGTAGGCAGACTATGGAAAGATGTAATAAAAACAGTTGTCATAGTGAGTGACTTTAATTTCCCAAATATTGACAGGGACTCCCTTAGAGCAAGAGGCTTAGATGGGCGGAATTTGTTAGGTGCATCCAAGACGGTTTCTTGAAACAGTATGCGGATAGTCCAACTAGAGACGGGCCATACTGGACCTTGTATTGGCTAATGAGCCTGGCCAGGTGACTAACGTTTCATTGGAACAGCATTTTGGAAACAGTGATCACAACTCCTTAAGTTTTACGATAGCTATGAACAAGGATAATTCAGGACCTTGCAGGAAGGTACTAAAGTGGGGGAGGGCAAATTACGTCAGTATTAGGCGGAAGCTAGGGATTGTTAATGGAGAGGAGCTGTTATCAGGTAAGTTCATATTTGACATGTGAGAATTGTTTAAAGACCTGCTGGGGACAGTTTAAGACCGGCATGATCCAGTAAGGAGGAAGGATAAGGATCGCAAGGTAAGGGACCCTTCGATAACGAGGGAGGTTGCGAATTTAGTCAAAAGGGAAAAGAAACCAAAATCGGACAGGGCCTGTGAAGAATATAAGGAAAGCAGGAAAGTACTCAAGCAGGGAATTAGGAGAGCAAGAAGGGGCCATGAAATAACCTTGGCAAGTAGGATTAAAGAGAATCCCAAGGCATTCCATAGATACATTAAAAACAAGAGGATTACTAGGGAGAAGGTAGGCCCACTCAAAGACAAAGGAGGAAACGTGTTTGGAGGGAGAGAATGTAGGTGAGATCCTAAATGGGTACTTTGCATTGGTATTCACCCAGGAAAAGGATATGGAGGACAAGTGAGATTTGTATGGAGCATGCTAATATGCTGGGGCATTTTGAGATCAAGAAAGAAGTGGTGTTGGATCTCTTGAAGAGCATTAAGGTGGATAAGTCCCTAGGACCCGATGGTATCTACCCCAGGGTTATTGAGAGAGGCAAGAGAGGAGATTGCTAGGGCCTTGACCAATATCTTTGTATTCACACTTGCCACTGAAGAGGTCCCAGAGGCCTGGCAAGTAACTAATATTGTTCTTCTGTTCAAGAAGGGAAATAGGGATAATCCAGGAAACTATAGACCAATGAGTCTCACATCAGTGGTTGGGAAGCTATTGGAGAGAATTCCCAGGGATAGGATTTATGCACATTTGGAAAAGCGTGGCCTCTTTAGGGACAGTCAGCATGCTTTGTGCAGGGCAGGTCATGTCTTACTAACTTGCTTAAATTTTTCGAGAAATTGACAAAGGTGATCGATGAGGTAGAGCAGTGGTTTAATTTACATAGATTTTAGTAAGGCTTTTGACAACGTCCCTCATGGCAGGCTCATTCATAAGATTAAGTTGCATGGGATCCACAGTGACTTGGCCGCATGGATTCAGAATTGGCTTGCCCATAGGGGACAGAGAATATTGGTAGAAGGGTGTTTTTCAGGCTGGAGGTCAGTGACGAGTAGTGTTCTGCAGGGATCCATACTGGGACCTCTGCTGGTTGTGATATATATAAATGACTTAGATGAAAATGTAGAGGGATGGGTTAGTAAGTTTGCAGATGATACAAAAATCAGTGGAGTTGTGGATAGTGTAGAAGGTTGACAAAGGATACAGCAGGATAGAGACCAGTTGCAGATATAGGTGGAGAAATGGCAGATGGAGTTTAATCTGGCTAAGTGTGAGGTGCTGCACTTTGGGAGATCAAATGTTAAGAAAAAGAATACAGTTAATGGCAGGACTTTGAACAGCATTGATGTACAGAGGGATCTTGGGGTTCAAGTCCATAGCTCCCTGAAAGTAGCCATGCAAGTAAATAGGGTGGTAAAGAAGGCGTATGGCATGCTTGCCATTATTGGCTGGGGAATTGAGTACAAGAGTCCGGATGTCATGTTGCAGCTTTATAAGACTTTGGTTAGGCCACATTTAGAGTATTGTGTTCAATTCTGGTCGCCACATCGCAGGAAGGATGTGGAGGCTTTGGAGAGGGTGCAGAAGAGGTTTACGAGGATGCTGCCTGGATTAGAGGGTATGAGTATAAGGAGAGACTAGAAAAACTCGGGTTATTTTCTCTTGGGTGACGCAGGCTGAGGGGAGACTTGATAGAAGTCTATAAAATTATGAGATGCATAGATAGGGTTGATTCTGATCAGAATCTTTTTCCCAGAGTCTAATACTAGGGGACATGTATTTAAGGTTAGAGGGGGAAGTTCAAAGGAGACATGAGGGGAAGTCTTTTACACAGAGAATGGTAGGAATCTAGAACCTACTGCTGGGGATGGTGGTGGAGCAGATACGATAGGGGCATTTAAGGGACTTTTAGATAAGCATACGCAAGAAATGGAGGGATATGGACCAATGGCAGGCAGAAGGGATTAGTTTCACTTGGCATCATGTTCAGCACAGCATCATGGGCCAAAGGGCCCGTTCCTGTGCTGTGGAGTTCTATGTTGTATGTTTTATGTTCTATTTTTAATTTCCCTATTTTTCCAGTGCCTAAGGTGCTTCATCCGGTAGACACTGCCAGTCTAGCTGACACTTCTTATGTAAAAGTTAGTTTTTGGGTAACAAAAGGGTAAATGGGTAACAAAAGACAACAAAATCTGGGTGGTGATTTCAATTATAATGTATTCTTGCAAACGAAACATTACCAAACACTCTTCAAACACCAGCTTAGCATGAAATATATAATTTTATTGTTCCCCACAAAATACACAGTTGATTTTAACTTTGCACAATAGTTAACAAATCCAAATGCAAAATGATTTGTGGAAAAAAGAAACATTTCTGTTTTTTTACTGACGTAAGCTTTTACAAATCAGTGCTGACTTTTGTGATTGTATGGCCTACCAAGGAGCTGTGTTCACAGGGAGTGTCAGAGAAAGAGCAACATTTTAGCTATGACTCTGTAAACTGTGTCCTTTGTGTGCTTGGCTCCCCACTGGTGGTTGGAGGATGACAAACACCTATACAATATATATTTAAGAAGTTAAATATAGTATCCACCATATTTCTTAATCACTTATAGAAAAATGGACACTGTAAAATTGTCATACAATTTTCTGTGGCAATTGGAGAGTTAATCTTGCACAGTGTATTAAACAAAATTGCCTCGAAGGGTATTAGTAATTTTTCACCTTACCAAAACATTTTGGCCTTGTCTTAGGTTGAAGAGTTGCTGCTGATTTGCAGCTTGATCTGTTCTGGAAACAAATTCTTCATTGTTATTTTTGTCTTCACACACAGCAACCCAAATGGTTTCTGAAAATGTCAATAAATTTCTGTGCAGTCTGGTGATCACTACCTCTTCACTAATTTTAGCAGTAATGCAAAGCACTGTGCCAGTTCAACAACCTTTTGCAGTTTCTGAATTACATAATGCAGTTGACAGCACCTTGTACTGATTCTCCATAGCTTCACAGCATTTTAATCACAACTCTTCCATAGGGGATCAACTAAATTACTTTCAGCTCTAACCAGAATCTCCAAAAAAACTTTAGAATATCCAACAGCCAAAGTGCAGGAAGTACTATCAAGGCTAAAAGCTTTAGGTGTGTAGGAAGTTGTGGGTGGAAGAAGGACCCAGGTTTAAGTAATTGAGCTAAAAGAAGAAACTAATCAAGTTCAATCTATGGTGATCATTCTAAAATGTGAAATGATGAAAGTATTCTTTATAAAAAAGAAATAGTTCAGTGTGTATAATTCAACCAGATAAAAGCAGGACAAAACAAAAACAGAGGACTTGATTAGCTAAATTGAGAAAAAGCCAGAGACAAACCTAACATAGGAAATAATTTCTTTATATTTCGACTAAATCCTATTTAGAAGCATTACAAAAAGCATTTAATCATTTCCTATTTAATACAGACGGCTTAGAACTAAAAAATCTTGAAAGGTTAAGATCTCATCTCAAGAGATAGGAACCAGTTGGATGGGCTGAATAGCCTTTTCTGTTTCTACATTCTTATTTTGGTGATCAGATATAAACTGGATGTATGATTTACTCTGAACAATTGCACAGTATTTTTCTGTAAACAATGGTGTTGACATCACAGATGTAAAAGCTTTCTGTGGCTGTCGCACTGTAATATTCACATTCAAACAGAAATCAGCAGCTCAGAAATTCTATAATTTATATAAAATCATTTCCTGTTAACTTCAATTCTATCTTGCAAATGACAAGAGAAAGTTTTGTTTGATCCAAAATGAGACCTGAAAAAATACTTAAGACATCTTGATTCCTTCAAGCAACTTGAAGACACATGATGACTACAGCATGATTAACATCAACAGTTACAGATAACATTATCCAGTGCATATTATAAATAACACATGTAATGATCTGGATAGAAGGCTTGAGTAAAAACTCAGATTTCTGGAACTTTAATAAACCACTCTTGCTATCTGCAATTTTACAGGTATCAATCTTAGATCACTTTTAATGATTAGTTAATGTTTATTATTTACTGATCTTCATGGAATCAATCAACAAAGTAGACCTGGAAGAGATTTACATTTTCCCTAAACCAAAACTGATTTAAAAACCTCTCTTCTCTAGGTAAATACATATTCAATTATAAATTAAATGATATCAGTCCAGATACACAAATATCACAGAAATTTATTATAATCTGCAGCAAGTTCTGCATTTAAAGAAACTCTGAAGTTTATGGCACCTAAAATAGCAATTACACTGGAATTAAAGCATTAGTGAATAATGGAACCCTGCCATGGTGTGTGTTCAATGTATGATTATAGATGGAAATCAATGTGGTGACTGGGACTAAACTATACTAATGTTCCAGCACAGCTTTTCCAATAGTACATTTATTCATTTAATATTAATTTAGTTTAGTTTTATAAATTGTAAATTATGCAGAAGTAAACGTTTGTTTCAAATTAAAATGTAATTAGCAATAAAATACTGCCAAAAATAATACAATTTTTCAACCTTTGCAGGGAGCACTTAGCAGGAATTTGGATTTGTGATGTGCATCATTTTCTGACCAGTAAAAATGACTGACTAGAAATCTGCCCAAATTTCCAAAACAGGGCTAACTGACAAGAAGGTGATCAAGATGAAGATATCATAAACTGGGAGGGAATTTTATAACTTTAGGTATCACTTCTGCTCAGTTTTCGCTCCACATCCTCTGATGTTATGGACATCTGCTGGGAGCAGTACCATGGGTATAATCATTCCTACAGTAACTTGCTCAGATAGTTTTTCTTCAATCATGAACCTAGTTAGGTGGATTAGCAAGCTAAACATTTGAAAACACTGCAGTTGAACCTAACCAACTATACCAACTTTCAATATCAGATCCACTGACTCAAAATTCCCTACAAAATTGAGACCTCTACCACTTAGAAGGATAAGCACAGATGATACATGGGAACACTACAACTTGCAAGTTCCCATCCAAGTCACACACAATGCTGACTTGGAACTTGGTATTTTATCATTGTCACTGAGTCTGAATCTTTGAACTACCTTGCTAACAAAACTGTAAATATACCTACCTCTTCATGGACTATAGCAGTTCAAGAAAGGTGGTTCATCAGCACCTTCGCAGGAGTCAATTGGGAATAAGCAATAAATGCTGTCCTAGCCAGACAGACCAATGACCTCTAAACAAAAACATAACTGGAAACAAAATTTAGGAATCCTTCCAATCTAAATGTTGCAGACAATGCAATGAATCATTGGGAGTGAATCTCACTATAGAAATATATGGAACTGTTAACTCTTCATGATGACTCAAGATGGAAAACCAACATATTAATCTGGCCTGTTCTTAGTAGAAGGCACAGATCATTGCTGTGTTTTTCAACTTGTTTGAATCGTACAATTAAGCTAAATAACAAAGCTGTGGTGGGTGATACACTACATTGATGAACAGAAGTGGTGGACCTGCAGGTTCAAAGATTGCACATCTGATCCTTACTGATTACTTACTGGTTGTCTGAACTCAATTGTTCAATTTAAGCAAACATTCAGAATTCTTAGCTGGCCCATTCAAAGATGAGAGATTTGGCAGATATTTTGATAGTGGGAAGGAAAATCTGGTATCCTTTAAAGCACCAATCAAGCTCCACTATCAGGAAGTTACAAATTGCACTTCAACTACACTGTACAACTTCATTTATCCTATCTCATCAGACGGAGGAAGAGAAAACTCAGAGAGTTATTATGTATCAAGGAAGAAAGGAAAAACTCCCCTTTCCATGATTTTTAAGGGAGGACTGCTTGATATCTAAATTGCATCAAGATAAAGAATATTGATTTAAATGACTACGTGAGAACAGGAATGAAATTCTTGAATCAAATTTTTGGTTACTGAATTTAATGTAAAGATGTTCAAATTAAGTTTTATTCTGCAGTTCCTTCGGTATTGTACAGGGCAAGAATATATACTAAATAGATTCTAGAATAACACTTTATAAATCTATGGTGCAAACCTTGCCACAACTCAAACTTTCTGACCCAGCTAGCTGTGATAGAGGCTAAAGAGAAAACTTAGAAGATTTTATGGAACCAGGATAATTCCCATTCAAGTGATTGTACAATTCTTGAAGACTGTTATTCAAGATTTTTGGAACATAACTCTCTGAAACAAGGAGGGATGACTGATATCTGGTATCATTCTTTTTGGTATTGGTTGGTTCTTGAACAAAAAAGTGAGTTTATTTTGTGTTGTCAGTTTTACCAAAGTGGAGGATAAATTAAAACAGGGTAGCTATTGTCTTTCTTGACCTGACTACTGACAGTGATACAGGACTGTCACAGAAGATATTAAAATAGGTCCAAAAATGGGACAGTAAATGAAATTGTTGAGAATTTTTTTCTTAATTTAGAATTGACATTAACAGCAAAGATACATTAACTCATAGCAACTAGAAATTCATTAACATCAATTGGAAACAATCAACTATAATGTTATCATTGATTAGAATTATATACCATAAGATTGAATAATTGTTAATTTAATTCTACTTAAGGTAAAAGCTCAGCACTTTATAACTTAATTTGAATCATTCTGAGGTGAATGTATATCACAGATGTGGTCTATTGTCCAATGCTAATGGGTCATTTGTCAGTACAGCGGCCAAATACTCTAACACGTATGTAATATAAGATTAATGTAATTCTTTTGTATAAACAAAAAAATTCAGTGCTGAATATTAGATGAAAGTCTTTTAAATAAAAACGGTGTGTGTGTATGCATGCGTGTTAGTGTATGTCCCATTCACCCTATGGTAAAAAGCAGCATGCTTAGCAGGCACTCAGCTTATCCCAGTTTTCACTGATACATGTTAATCCATTTGATTACTCAACATGGTCCATATCGCACAAAGTTCACACACCACAGCTAGCTCTGCTGAGTCTACAATCAGCAGGTCATTAACACATGCCAATCCATTCAGTGCATACACTGCAGAGAATTTGAGTTCACCTCATTGTAAAGTTGCCTTACAGATTCACCTCCAGTCACAAGGGTTGTTATATTTTACTGACATCCATTTCTTTTATCTTCTTTCCGAGATCATCCATTTGAGCTTCTGACCCCTTGTCTGGCAGCAACACTTCTACCGAGTAGCTAACCTTCTTCGAATGAATGATGCTGTATGTGTTGTCAAATCTTAGAACATCTGGGAAAAACAGAGTAAAAAATAGCAATCGCACAGACATACCAAACCTAAGTCTCCAATCAATGAACTGACGAAGATAAAGTAGTGATGTCTCTGCAGGGTATGCAACCAACCTATAGCATATACAGCTTATACAGCTTAGGACACAAGCAATGGGAAGAGGTATTGACGATGATGATAAATTATGGTCTTAACAAAATTATAGAGAATACTTTTAAATTGGCACATAATATGAACAGTCACCAAGGTTGTGCAATGGCTGTGTTTGGAGAGGGTGGATTTTGTAGGAGCATTCATATCCAGCTCAGTTCATTCTCATTGCTAAGTCACTGTAAATTTCTTTCATTATGGGTAGTTGCCATGTAAAGTCACAGTTTTAGGTGAATAGGAAAAGCCTCACTTGATCAACTCTCGCTCTAGAGATCTATGAGGACCAGTTGTGAAGCACTACACACTTTGAAAATAGAGATGTCCTCCCACATTTATGGTGAATTCCAGTGCATGGTACAGGTTCAATTCTTTTGTAAAATATGGTAATATAGATCAAAAGTGAGAACACAAAGCTGGAATTTGGGAAAAGTTGGATGACAGATGAGCTCAGAGGCAATGAAATAGCATTGAAGTTATTTTTGATTGGTTCTTGATTTCCAAACAGCCAATCAAAACAGTTGACAGTCTTCTTTTGTTCTGACAGCACACTGAAGTGTGATTCACAATGATAAGTTCAGAAATGCACCAAGATAACTACAGAAGAGAAAGGCCATTCAACCCACCTTAATTCATCTTTCCACCAGAATCCTAACACTCTCTCATTCCAGAGTATTTACTTTCACTATACATTAAAAAGAAGAGCACAGCTAGAAACACTGTGCAAGTAATTTACTTAATTCCAATTTATAGTTGTTCAAACATTGTAGCTATAAATGCTCAGATACTACAGCTGGATTACTAATTATGCAATGCATCATGCTATGGTAAGATTACAATCTGCATCAGAATTTATTTTACCACATGAAGTAGGCACAAAAACAGGCAATTCCATCTTCACTCAGCTTCCGAAGTGAAGCGATTCCCCAAAAAGGAAATCCAAAAGACAAAACAGTTTATCATTAGATTTTAAAGAATACTGCACATTCATGGGGAACTCAAGAAGGCAGGTGAGAAATGTATAAATCTGCAGAATTGTGCAGGGTCAGACTCTTCACAAGTTGAAACCCAAATTAAACCAGCAACCTCTACAGCAAAATGTATAATCTGGACTGTAATGTCATGGGGAGATTTTTTGTTTATTCATTCATGGGATGAGGGCATCGCTGGCTAGGCAGCATTTATTGCCCATCCCTAATTGCCCAGAGGGTAGTTAAGAGTCAACAACATTGCTGTGGATCTGGAGTCACATGCAGGCCAGACCAGGTAAGGATGGCAGTTTCCTTCTCTAAAGGACGTTAGTGAACCAAATGGGTTTTTACAACAATCGACAATGGATTCACAGTCATCATTAGGATCTTAATTCCAGATATTTATTGAGTTCAAATTTCACCATCTGCCTTGGCGGGATTCAAACCCAGGTCCCCAGAACGTTATCTGGGTCTCTGGGTTAACAGTCCAGTGACATACCATTATGCCATCGCCTCCCCTCCATTACTACTTTCAAAATGGACTCGAGAAACCTCCCATTAGAACAATTGTTTGAGAAAGACTGAAAGTATCCAGTAAGATGGGCATAGCTTCAACGAATGCAAGCCCTTGCCAAGAAAAGTAATATTTAGTTTTAGGATGAAAACTGGGGGGTAAGTGGGAGCTGGAAAGAGGAAAATAAAAGAACTAATATTAAAAATGCAATCTTAAATACATTATGGGTTCAAGAATTCAACTTCAAGTCTGACCAGACAATGGACAGCTAATAAATTGATTGAAACCCTGTTAAGATGCTAAAAATAACGAAAGTTGCAGTGCTAAAGCCCCATCCCTGGATGTCAGTAGATTATGCTTTTTGGACGGGAAATTAAATGTGAAAATCTCAGGTAACAGTGATGGATGTTGTATTTACTGTTCGAAGACATTTCTGTTTTTATCCTCAGACTTAGGTAGCTTTTTAACAAATCTTGTGCTATTACACTGAAAATTTAAAGGAGCAAATGATAGAAAATACAATTAGGAATAACAAATTGTTCGAATACCAGCAGAATTCTTCTAAGCTTGCATTCTACATTTCTTTCCTTGTTTTGTACAGATACACTGATGAACAGTTTGCTGACATTGTTGCTGAGTGCAGATTGATATGTTAAGGAATAGGGGCTAAAACATATGGGATGGAAACAAGAAATTAAAATAAGAGTTATCTACTGGTAAAGTCTAAAAGCAAGTTGCATTTTCTATAAAGATAAAAATGACCAGGCATAACATAGTCAATCTTGTTCACAACAACAGAAATCGCTAAAGAATACACACACCTCAAAGCCACTACTGTGGGGATCTTTGAGATAACAACTAGTACTGCAGAACACTGCTAGTCCAGATTAATAAAACCACAATCTGCTAAAGGAACACTAACCGCTAAATCTTATTAATTTACTGCAATAACATAACTGAACAGTTAGACCAAGATAACTGTTCACCAGTCCTAAGTTTTTAAGATAATTGCTTTTTAATTATTGGAAATTGAATGAGCAATTCAATTATAATTGAAAGGCCTTCTCCCCTAATTTGAGATTATAATTAAAATAATTGGACTTATATTATTGATTGATTAAGCATCATCCACACCATATTTTATATTATATGACACCAAAATAATTGCAAATATCTCAACATAACCTAAATAATTAAATTTGTGAGGGGAGAGATATTGGTATCAGTCACCTCCATTTCAGACTCATTCTGAACCTGACGGGTCTCACACTCTTCGGGATCAAGGTAATGAGTTTGATATTTAGTGGATATGCTTGCTTTCTTTTAAAGTCTTCTATGTGTATTAATTCGTGGTTGAAGTTTGGATTTTCCTGTTGCTATCTTTTCAAGGTTTTATGTAGCTTTGCAATTTGTACTTTTCATATTCCACCAAAGTTACATTTTGTTATAATATTAAATTTATGTGCCCGTTTAGAACTTAAATAATCTCACATAATTATATCAAACATTCAGAAAACTCAACCCCTATTCCCTTTAGTAGGGGACAGTTTTCTGAGGAGTTTCACCCAGACACGTACAATATCCAGGAAAATTACAATCTAGCAAAAAAAATGTATTTTACGTTATTGGGCAGGATTTCTTCCTTTGGGTAGGAGTTTAGTTGGACTGTACAGACTGAAATTACATGTCCTGGACTCTAGCTCCCTCTGGCAGAAATTTCAGGAAATTAGTTGAAAGGCAGGAGTGAGGAGTTACGATTATGACAAAAACATGACAGATTAAAAAAAGGCCAACAGCATTTTGGATCTTACTAATATGGGCATAGAACCCAGAAGTAAAGGAAGTAGATATGTTATGATAAATTTACACAAGACATTGTCTAGGTCACAGTTGCAGAACTGTCTGTAGCTTTGGGAAGCCTGTTTTGGAAAGAACAACACAGTTTAGTTTCATCTGGCTGATGTCAGCAAATGGAAACTACATTTGTCAGGAGACACTTGAGATGCTGAGAGTATTTCCATTGTTGAAGAGAAAGCCAGTGGGAGTTTTCATGTGGCTTTTAGCATTAAATAATGATTACACCACAGAAGGCAGCTATTCAGTCCCTTGCATCATACTGGCCTTCATGCAACTCATCTAATCCCGTCTCCCTGCCTTTTCCCATCGCCCTGCAATTTGTTTAAGTTTTGATTGGATTGCCTTCAGTTGAAGAGTCAGTATTGCGGGATCATTAAAATTCACAAAATACCAAGGTACATATCGATGAAGAAGGCAAAATTACAAGTAACTCTGTGCCACAGCAGAAAAATAATTCATTAACTTAGAAATTTCAGGGAGAACTGTTCCATCAGCAGAAGTGCATATTGAATTGCTATTTTAGATTACTTCCCTGCAGACACTGTTATATTCCCCCCAGTGCAGTTCTGATCACTGAATAAAATATGAGTAATGGATACCACCTTTGTGCATATGACCTGAATACTCTTATTCCACAGAACATGTCTGTATGTTTGTTGATAGATGATAAGAAAGGAGAATGTACACATGCTTTTGACTATTGTGGTAGCTTTATTTCCTTGGTTACCTAGGGAGTAGACTTTTGTTAAAAGATGTGTATTGTGTAAGATGTTTCAGCTAAAATTAATACATGGTGTATCGTGTTGCGTGGTCACTACAGTCGTGAGTCAGAATTTTCTACTGATACGATTGTTCAAATTTGATCACAGAATTTCCTGTACAGCTCTATTTTGTCCAATGAGGCTAATAACAAGGGTCAATCTTGAACCAACTCTGCGCTCCAGCTACACCACCAATTGCCTCTTGTTATACAATACCCTCCTCCTCTATTGCAGTTACATACTCTTCTATGAATAAGATGCCTTTATAACTCAAGCTACCTTCTCGGCATTCCCATAACTTTTTAACTGCACTTGGATCCATTGCTATTATCCAGTCAAACTTCAGTTTAAAATCTAAATTTTTAATGCAAGCTTATCTTTGTATTTCCAGTAATTTATTTTCAATACTGTTTGTATTGGTATTAATCCCGTCAAGGAATTCCGTGTCTACTCTCTGTGGTTCACATTATTAAACTGCCTTAGTCACTGTAAACAAAATTCAATTATTAGAACTGTTTCAACTAACATGCGTGAGCATGCACATAAACACAGACACACACACAAACACGGACTGGACATAAAAATCTTGCTCAGTGAGCTAAGTAGAAAAAAAAATTCATGTAAATGTCAAAAAGAAAGCCTTATTTTTGAGTATAGTGGAAGGAGAAATAAACAAATAGATTGAATTGTTGAATGTTAAGTAAACACTACAAATCATGGTGCAAGTTAGAGGAATGTGTTGAGTAATTGTAACGTCATAATGATTGTTAAAAAAAGGTTTCAGGAAAGCAAGAACAAAGTTGTTTCAATTTTAAGGAAGTTATATATTGTAATCAGAGAATAGTACCGTAAATATTTAACAGAACCAATTTTAAGCCTGCTTGCCTGGGGCAAAATCTACCTTGTAGCAAATAAGGGGTGCTTTGGTCCCAGCTAGCTGCTTCCTAAGCGTGGTCAATTCCAATCTTCTCTATCACCCAGCCTCCAATCGCTCCCTTTCAGGTGGATTGAATGCAAATAATGCCCAGGATTTAAAACTGTCTAGGCCTCATGTAGTCAAAGTCAAGGAGGATTTGCTTTCAGTCCCTGTTACTACTCCAAGTTAAAATTGGAACAAAAATAGGCCAGAGATTTTCAGTAGACCATAAGACATTGGAGCAGAATTAGGCCATTTAGCCAATCCGGTCTATCTATTATTTGATCATGGGCTGTATTATGTTTATCAACCTCATTCTCCTGCCTTCTCCCCATAACGCTTGGTCTCCTTACTAATCAAGCACCATTCTATCTCTGTCTTAAATACACTCAATGACTCTGCAGCAATCAGTTCCACAGAGTCACCACTCTCTAGCTGAAGAAATTTCTCCTCATCTCAGTTCTAAAGGGTTGTCCCTTCACTCTGAGGCTGTGCCCCGAGGTCCCAGTCTCTGCTAGGAGTGAAAACATCTTCTCCACATCCATTCTATCCAGGCCTCTCAGTATCCTGTAGGTTTCAATCAGATCCCACCTGATCCTTCTAAACTGCATTGAGTACAGACCCAGAGTCCTCAACCACTCCTCATATGACAAGTCCTTCATCCCCGGGATCATTTTTGTAAACCTCCTTTGCACCACCTCCAAAGCCAGTACATCTTTCCTTTGATATGGCGCCAAAAACTGCTCACAATATTCCAAATGCAGTCTGACCAGAGCATTGTACAGCTTCAGCAGAACAGCTTTGCTCTTGTTTTCGAGCCCTCTTGAAATGAGTGCCAACATCATATTTGCCTTCCTAACCGCCAACTGAACCTGCATATTTACATCGCTATTCTTCATACCAAAGTATACAACCTCACACTTTGCCATATTGTATTTCATCTGCTACTTCTTTGCTCTCTTGCCTAGCAAGTCCAAGTCCTTCTGCAGGCTCCCCACTTCCTAAACACTACCTGTCCTTCCACCTATCTTTGTATCATCTGTAAACTTAGCAACAATGCCATCAGTTCTTTCATCCAAATCGTTAATGCATAACATGAATAGTCGTTACCTCCTCAAAGAATTCAAACAGAATTGTCAGGCATGACCTCCCCTTGATCAAGCCGTGCAGTCTGCCCTATTTAACTATGCACTCCCAAGTACTCCACAATCTCATCCTTAATAACAGACTCTCAAATCTTACCAACAACTTAGGTCAGGCTACCAGCCTAAAGTTTCCAGTCTTCTGCCTCCCTCCCTTCTTATACAGGGGTGTTACATTAGCCATTTTCCAGTCCTCTGGGACCCTCCCTGCCTCCAGTGATTCCTGAAAAATTACAAACAATGTTTTCACAATGCCCTTGGCTGTCTCCTTCAGAACCCTGGGAGTGTAGTTCATTTGATCCAGGTGATTTTTCCACCTTCAGACCTTTCAGCTTCTCCAGCATCTTCTCCTTAGTGATGACTACTACACTAACCTCTTCCCCCGACTCTCTTGAAGTTCTGGTAGGTTGCTGGTGTCTTCCACTGTGAAAACCAATGCAAAGTACCTATTCAGTTCCTCTGCTATTTCTTTGTTCCCCCATCACTACTTCTGCAGCCTCATTTTCCATTGGTCCAATGTCCACAAGCCTCTCTCTTTTAGATAACTGAAAAAACACTGTTGCAATCTTCTTTTGTATCACTAGCTAGCTTACTCTCATTTCATCTTCTCCTCACTTATTGCTTTTTTAGTTGTCTTCTGCTGGTTTTTAAAGACTTCCCATTCATCTGGCCTCCCACCAATCTTCACCACATTGTACGCTTTTTCTTTTGCTTTTATTCTGTCCCTGACTTCCCTTGTCAGCCATGGTTGCCTCATTCTCCCCTTAATATATTTCTTCTTCTTTGTGATGAATTTCTGCTGTGCCTCCTGAATTACCCCCAGAAACTTTGGTCACTGCTGCTCCACTGTCTTCCCTGCTAGACTTTCCTTTCAATCAACTCTGGCCAGCTTCTCCCTGATATCTTTGCAGTTAGTTTTACGCAATTGTAATACCATTACATCTGATTCCAGCTTCTCCTTTTCAAACTGCCGGGTGAATTCTATCATGTTATGGTCACTGCCCCTTGGAGGTTTCTTCACCTTCAGCTCCCTAATCAAGACTGCCTTGTTATACATCATCAAATCTAGATTTGCCTGTTCCCTAGTGGGCTCTACCACAAGCTGCTCCAAAATACCATCTCATAGACATTCCATGAATTCCTTTTTTTGAGACCAGCTACCAAACTGATTTTCCCATATTGAAGTCCCCTATGATTATTGTAATTTTGCCTTTCTTACATGCCTTTTCTATGTCCTGATTTATTTTCTTGCCCACTTCTTGAGGCCTGTACACAACTTACATCATGGTCTTTTCTCCTTTGCGGTTCTTCAACTCTTCCCACACAGATTCTATGCCTTCCGACTTGACATTACTTCTTGCTATCGTTTTAATTTCATTTCTTACTAACTAAGCAATTGTGCCCCCTCTTCCTGTCTTTTCAATAACATGTGTATCCTTGGATATTTAGTTTCCAGCCCGGATTCCCTTGCAGCCACATGTCTGTGAGATTTGCAAATTTCAATCTGTGCTACAAGCTCATTTACCTTGTTTTGTATACTGAGTGCATTTAAGCACAACACCCTCAGTCCTGCATTGACTGCACCCCCATTGTCATAGCTGACTCCTTATTTGCAGTGCTGAGGTTAGATTCATAGAATCACCAAATCTTACAGTGCAGAAGAGGCCCTTCAGCCCATCGGGTCTGCACCGACACGCGAGAAACATCTGACCTTCAGCCTAATCCCATGAGTTGTATAGAACCGTTCTGAGGAAGGGTCAGCGGACCCAAAATGTTAACTCTGATTTTTTCTTCACACATGCTGCCAGACCTGCTGAGCTTTTCCAGTAACTTCTGTTTTTGTTCCAACATGACTTCCCTTTTTTTGTAATTCATATAGGCAAATTTGCACGTCTTTTTCACCACCTGCCTAACATGCCCTTCCACCTTCAGAGACCTATGGACAAACATTCCAAGGTCCCTTTGTACAACAGAACATCCTAGTATCATGCCGTTCATTGAATATTTCCTTGTCAAATGACTCCTTCCAAAGTGTATCACCTCACACTTTTTAAGAGTTAAATTCCATCTGGCGCTTATCTGCTCATTCGACCATCCCGTTTATATTTTTCTTGTGGCCCAGTAAGGCAACTTACTAATCCAACCCCTGCACACAATCATCTATGTCATTTTACAAATGATGAATATTATGGAGCCCAGCACCGATTGCTGGTACATCACTGGACACTGGCTTCCAGTCACTAAAGCAGCCTTCTGGCGTCAGCCTCCATCTCCTACAACTGAGCCAATTTTGGATCCACTTTATCAAGTTACCCTGCATCCCATCTGCATTTGCTTTCTTGGTAAGTCTCCTATGTGGGACCTTGCCAAAGGCTTTGCTGAAATCCATATGAACTACAACAACTGCACTACAACCCTCATCTACACATCTGGTTACCTCCTCAAAAAAATTCAATCAAATTTGTTAGGCATGATCTCTCTCTGATGAAACCACGCTGACCCTTTCTGATCAAGCCTTGCTTCTCCAATGGAGACAGATGCTCTCCTTGAGAATTTTCTCCAACAGTTTCCCTGCTTCTGCGGTGAGACTCACAGGTCTGAGTTCTCTGGCTCATTTCTACATCCGTTCTTGAATATTGAACCACATTCACTGTTTTCCAGTCATCTGGCACCTCCCCTGTGGCCAGAGAGGAATTAAAAAGTTGAATCAGTGCCTGTGTAACCTCCTTCCTTGCCTCCCACAGCAGTCTATGACATAATTCATCCAGACCTGGAGATTTGGATGAACACAGCAGTCCAAGCAGCATCATAGGAGCAGAAAGGCTGACGTTTCGGGCCTAGACCCCTGCTCCTATGATGCTGCTTGGACTGCTGTGTTCATCCAGCTCTGCACCTTGTTGTCTCAGATTCTCCAGCATCTGCAGTTCCTACTATCTCAGATCTGGAGATTTATCCACTTTTAAGCCTGCTAATACTTTGTTCTTCCCTATGTCAATTTGCTTAAGCACCTCGCAGTCTCTCCCCCTGGGTTCCAAACCTTCATCCTCTTTCTCTTGGGCGAACCCTTCCCATACTCTCTGTCCTATTACCTGTTTTGGAAACTTTAACCTCTGCTGAGTCCTCCACCTCTTTAACTCTTTCCATAATTTTCCATGCAACTGAATCCAAACACCCCCACCCCCAACTATCTAGTTTAAAGCCCTATCCACATCCTTAGTGATGTGATTTGCAAGGACTCTGGTCCCAGCGATGATTCAGGCAGAGCCCGTCCCATTGGTAGAAGTAAAGTGTGTAATATTTTACCTCAGTTGGTGACAATTATACCATGTTAGTAAATTTTCTGCATTGCAGTAACTGATACTGTCCCTCTAAAGTGGAACATGAGTATAAATAAAAAAATCACTACAGGACCAGAAAACCATGAGTAAATCCATAGATGACCTACGACTGTTATCAATAATTAGGGATTATTAGGGAAAACTAAGCAGGTAGAGAGACGTACTGAAAGATGACTGTACATAATCACAAGCCAGCAAATATACCTGGACATTACTGATGTACATCTTAACCATAGTGACCACATTAGTTGATTTAATAGCACCAGAAATACTACCTGATAATAATGAAATTATAATTTTAACAAAAGTAGTTAATTGACATACAGACTCCAGGTTCCTGGCAGGTAAATGTTCCATCCTCAGGTACCAGGTGACTATTGTATCTCTGGTTAGGAACCACTTCGACCATTTCGCCAGCCTTTTGTCGTTCTCCAATTTTTGTCTTCAGGTACACACCAAACCCAATGTCTGCACTCTCAGTCATAAACTGCCACCTGGAAGTAAAGATCCAAATTAAGAAATGTAGAAACTCAGAAATAGCTCACACTTAAATTTGTCATTGTCATGCATAAATCCCTTTGTGGTTTCAAACCCCCCTACCTCTGTACCTTCATCAATGCTACAATCCTCCAAAAACTGCTCTTCTCTAATTTTTATTCTATTCATTCGTGGGATGTGGGCATCGCTGTGATGGGCCAGCATGTGTAGCCAATTTCTAGTTGCCCTTGAGAAGCTGGTGGTGAGCTGCCTACTTGAAAGCTGCAGTCCATGTGCAATAAGTAGACCCACAGTGCTGTTAGGGAGGAAATTCCAGGACTTTGAGCTAACGACACTAAAGGAAAAGCAATATATTACCAATTGCGTTACCCCAACTCATTCTGCCCCAGCAAAATGGTTTGTACCATCCAGACCCAAAGCTTGAGAATCCGCTTTCTAAATCGTTCCACCTCTGTACCACACTGTCTGCTACTAAGACCCTCCTGTTTTATTAAGCTTTGATCAGCCTTCTTATTATCTCCTTCTTTGGCTACGTATCTATTTTTTGTATGATTGCAATTCTGGGAAATGTTTATACAGTCACTTCTACACGAAGGCTCTTGATAAAAATACAACAACTTACATCTATTGGGGAACATGACATAATGAAATGCCGCAAGGTGATTTGCAGGAATATTAGACAGCATGACCGAGTCACGTAAGGAGATATTAGATTGTGAACCAAAAGGTTCTGTAAATAGGTAGACTTTAAGGAGACTCTAACAGGAGGAAAGTGAACTGGAACTGCAGACAGTGCATCTTAGAGCTTGGTGCTTGGGCAACTGAAGGCATGGCCACAAACAGTACAACAATTGTATTTGGAAATGTACAAGCAGCCAGGATTTGAGGAATGCAGATATCTCGGTGGGTTTTGGAGTTGGAGGGGATTATTTTTCACTATAAATTGACCATTTGACCATTGTAATGGGCTGGATTTTAGCCCTGCAGTCAGGGTCAGGTCTTAAGGAGCAATTTTGGTTCCCAGCCTTGCATCACATCCAGCCTGACACCTAGCCCGACTTTTTTTTATAAACTGGTTGATTAGCGGCCTGGGAATGCACTCTCTGTCCAATTAATAATGGTGAGTAGGCTCACAAGACTGAAGAGCCATCGAGGGTCCTCTTGACCCTGAGAAATTGTCAGCCCCACCACCTGAGGAAGGAGCTCCCAATGCACAGAGAGGAGGGAGGGCATCTCAAGATGGAGACCTGCAGAAGACTTTTAAAAAGATGAAATTAAAACTGACCACAAGTGGCTCTGTGCTAATGTGAAGGGTGGCTCTCCTCAGAACCTATATCTGTGATTCTGACCTGTAAGGGGTGGGTGGGTCTAAGAAAAGGTAGCAGGAACATTGGCTGTCCGATGTGGCACTGGGAGGTCACAGAACATAAAAAATAGGACATAGAACAGCACAGCAACAGGCTCTTCAGCCCACACATCTGTCGAACATGATGCCGTTCTAAACTAATTCCATAAGGAAATTCGTATGTTTATTGCATGTAGATTGGAAAACTCCTTTTGACCTTGGAGTCCAAAGGCTCTTAAAACCACCTAATTGATTATCAGCCATTTGTAGGGGGTTAACTTTTTCTCTCCCTCAATAGGCATGTTGCAAAATGATCCAAAACAGGAACATGCCATTAAATTGGCACACTGGGTGGTGGGAAATTCAGGCCCACTTGCCTCTGTTCCTGTTTAACCATGATTATTTAAAATACTGGAACATAGCCATCATTTTCAAAGTACCTAACTTTCCATCGTTAATCATTTTTATATTACCTGAAATAATGCCAAACATCAAAAATTTTAACTCTTTACACCACACCACAGCAAGGAATACAACATATTTAACTATATCAAACAAATTATTTCTAAACATTTTGATATGAATCAAATCTGTATGTTGTAAATAAGAAGTCGATACAGTTACCTTTTTGACTTCTTTTTTCCCTTTGTCCACCATTGGCTTTCTCCTTCAGCTTAGAAGGTAAGAAACTCTTAGCCATAGATAGGAATGACTCACTGTGATTGCTTCAGTGAAGTTTCCAGATAAATTATACTCTTTCAATGATTGCTTCATCCCAGTAGCTTTCTTTGTTTTAGTTCCTAGGATGTTAGTATTGTTGCCCAACCCTTAATTTCCTTTTAATACATGGTACTGAGCCACCTTCTTGAATCCCTGCAGTCCACATGGTGTAGAGAAGGAGATCCAGGTTTCAAGCCAGCAAAATGAATGACCAGTGATACAGTGACAAGTCAGGATTGTGTGTGGCTTAGGAGGGGAACACATAGCTGGTGGGTAGTGTTCCCATGCATCTGCTGTTCTTGTCCTTCCAGGTAATAGGGGTCATTGTTTGGGAGTTGCTATTGGAGGAAGTGTGGTAAGTTGATGCAGCACATCTTGTCGATGGGACATAATGCTGGCCAGTTGGTGTCAGTGGTGGAGGGACAGTGTGTTTAATGTAGTGGGTGGGTGCTGTTCAAACTGGCTGTTTTGTCCTGGATGGGGTCTGTGGCGCGTTATATTCTAGAGGGTTGTTAATACTTTCATCCTAATCTTTTAACATGCTAATCATACACTGAACATTCACAACAGAAAATGATGCAGCATCGCATGTGACCAATTATGTAGCCTCATGGAAAGATATAAGCCAGAACAGTAAAATGTGATTCAATACAGCTCGTGTCTCATATACCTCTGCAGACTCATCAAGCGTCTTGCAGTTGTCTGACAACATTAAGAATATTGTAGTGTTGAGTTTCTTGAGTATTATTGGAGCTGCATTCATCCACCTAACCAGCCATTTATGGGTTGGTAGTTGTTTCCTTCCCCAAAATGGCATGTTGAAAATGACCAAAGGCAAGAACATGCTTTCAAACATGCATACTGGCAAGTGGAGAGTACTCCATCACACTCCTGATCGACCTAATAAAAACCTAATGAGTAGAGGCAGTAAGATTCAATTTCCAGCTGAGGCTAGGGATTTAAACTCAACCCTTGTGACTGAGAGCTCGATATTCTTTGAGCAGAATTAATAAGACATTTCTTGAAGAAAAATTGAAAAACAATTCCAAGTGAGTTCAGATTTTCTTTATCAGACTGATTTTGAGATATTCACCAGGTGTTTTGCCAATAATAGGGTTAAAAGTAACTCTATAAACATTTCCTAGAATTTCAATCAGAATTGGACACTCAGCCAAAGAAGGAGGGTCCTAACAGTGGACAGGGTGGTATAGAGGGTGATGAATCTGTGAACTAATTGACACAGAAGGGCTGTGGAGGCCAAGTCATTTAGTGCGCTTAAAACAGGGATAGATAAGTCCTTGATTAGTAAGGGGTCAAGCACTATGGGGAGAAGGCAGGAGAATGGTGTTGAGAAACATATCAGTCATGAACGACTGGTGCAGCAGACTCAATGGGCCGAATGGTCTAAATCTGCTCCTACATCTTATGGTCTTATGATTTAATAACAGAATGCAAAATACATATATTTTGAAAAGTAGATGTTCCTTACCCCAAGATTCCAGCACAGGGTAACTAGAGAAAGGGTTGGCCCACTCAAGGACAAAGGAGGGAAGTTATGCAAGGAGTCAGAGAAAATGAGTGAGATTCTTAATGAGTACTTTGCGTCAGTATTCACTGAGGAGAGGGACATGATGGATGTTGAGGTTAGGGATAGATGATTGATTACTCTAGGTCAAGTCGGCATAAGGAGGGGGGGGAAGTGTTGGGTATTCTAAAAGGCATTAGGATGGACAAATCCCCAGGTCCGGATGGGATCTATCCCAGGTTACTGAGGGAAGCGAGAGAGGAAATAGCTGGGGCCTTAACAGATACCTTTGCAGCATCCTTGAGCACGGATGAGGTCCCAGAGGACTGGAGAATTGCTAATGTTGTCCCCTTGTTTAAGAAGGGTAGCAAAGATAATCCAGGAAATTATAGACCGGTGAGCCTGATGTCAGTGGTGGGGAAGCTACTGGAGAAGATACTGAGGGATAACATCTATTTACATTCGGAAGAAAATGGGCTTATTAGTGATAGACAGCATGATTTTGTGCAGGGAGGGTCATGTCTTACCAACTTGATAGAATTCTTTGAGGAAGTGACAAAGTTGATAGATGAAGGAAGGGCTGTAGATGTCATATACATGGACTTCAGTAAGGCGTTTGATAAGGTTCCCCATGGTAGGCTGATGGAGAAAATGAAGTCGCATGGGGTCCAGGGCATACTAGCTAGATGCATAGAGAACTGGCTGGGCAACAGGAGACAGAGAGTTGTAGTGGAAGGGAGTTTCTCAAAATGGAGAACTGTGACCAGTGGTGTTCCACAGGGATCCGTGTTGGGACCACTGTTGTTTGTGATATACATAAATGATCTGGAGGAAGGTATAGATGGTCTGATTAGCAAGTTTGCAGATGACACTAAGATTGGTGGAGTAGCAGATAGTGAAGGGGACTGTCGGAGAATGCAGCAAAGTATAGATAGATTGGAGAGTTGGGCGGAGAAATGGCAGATGGAGTTCAATCCAGGCAAATGCGAGGCGATGCATTTTGGAAGATCCAATTCAAGAGCGAACTATACGGTAAATGGGAAACCCCTGGGGAAAATTGATACACAGAGAGATCTGGGTGTTCAGGTCCATTGCACCCTGAAGGTGGCAATGCAGGTCAATAGAGTGGTCAAGAAGGCATACGGCATGCTTTCATTCATCGGACAGGGTATTGAGTACAAGAGTTGGCAGGTCATGTTATAGTTGTATAGGACTTTGGTTCGACCACATTTGGAATACTGCGTACAGTTCTGGTCGCCACATTACCAAAAGGGTGTGGATGCTTTGGAGAGGGTGCAGAGGAGGTTCACTAGGATGTTGCCTGGTATGGAGGGCGCTAGCTATGAAGAGAGATTGAGTAGATTAGGATTATTTACGTTAGAAAGATGGAGGTTGAGGGGGGACCTGATTGAGGTCTACAAAATCATGAGAGGTATAGACAGGGTGGATAGCAAGAAGCTTTTTCCCCAGAGTGGGTGACTCAATTACTCGGGGTCACGATTTCAAGGTGAGAGGAGAAAAGTTTAAGGGAGATATGCATGGAAAGTTCTTTACGCAGAGGGTGGTGGGTGCCTGGAAGGTGTTGCTAGTGGAGGTGTTAGAGGCGGGCATGATAGCATCGTTTAAGATGTATCTAGACAGATACATGAATGGGCAGGGAGCAGAGGGATACAGATCCTTGGAAAACAGGCGACAGATTTAGATAGAGGATCTGGATCGGCGCAGGCTTGGAGGGCCAAAGGGCCTGTTCCTGTGCTGTAATTTTCTTTGTTCTTCTTTGTTCTAGGTACCGTATTAAATTCAGCCTCACCTTAAAACACAGCCAGGGAACAGCACCTCGTATTCAGACTGAAAAGATGAGCCCCTGTTGACAGTGACCATGTTTTCATATTGTTGCTTAATGGACTCAAGGATGTAATATGACTTTGGTACATCACCACCAAAGTTTATCTATAAAAAAAAGGAATGAGAGTTTTTAAATCAGAAGGCATTCCTAAGATTCAGAATACATTTTGCTATTTCATAACAGGCTTACAAGTGAACAGGTATTGTTGCTAGGTTGAGTTCTGTCCTGTCGTTACTGAATTGCTTAGCAGTTACCTACACCTGGTGGCAAACATAGTGAAGTACTTTGCTGAGGCAATAGTCTAGATTTTGCAGTCAAGAGTGATGGGAATGTAATCACTTTTGAACCTAACAACCTCTATGGAAGCCGGGAAATGCATACTAATATTAGTTGGAATCTGACATCATGTCAAGTGACTCTCTTTGTGTCTGGCAACAGAGATGTCATCAAGCAGGGTATATAAACAATCACACTAAAGAATTCTCACAGGCAGCTAGCCAGGGCTACAGTGTCCCGACTACCCTTCCATTTTACAGAACGCAAATAAAGACTGCACATATATATCAGAATCAGAATATCATGAATAAACTTTGAAAAATATAATTTATATTAAAAATATTGAAATTCTCATAATGGAAAAGGTGGGCACTCCGATATAAAATTAATTTTCAAGGGCCAGTAGTAGTTATGTCTTAGTACTACATTAAAATATTTTAATTAACAAGGTGTAACTTTATAATAGATTCTTAATAGTGATATGACAATGTAAAGGGGATGTTCTCATAATTTCAGTGATTTCCAGAAGCTTGGCATTTGCAGTGACTTCAGTGTGGTAAGAAATTACACAACAGCTTCTACATGCTGACATTTAATGGCATTTGTGCTGATGCCATGATTTGCTGACAGGTTCAGAGTTGTAGAGATGAAAAATGTCAACAGCTTTACCATCAACTGCAGCCTCCACACTTCTGGCACTTCTGTTCCAGCTCAATTAAGGGAACTGAATAAAAGTTCTTTTTAACAGGCCAAATAAGGACAGTTCCTCAGTAAGTTGACCAAAACCAATAACAAATTAATAAACAACAACTTAGATTTAAATAGTGTTCTTAATGTAACAAAATGTCCCAGGCGTGTCACAGGAGCATTATAAGACAATGTATGACATTGAGGTACATAAGGAATGTTTAGGTCAGGTAACCAAAAACCTGATCAAATGGGTATGTTTTAAGGAGTGCTTTGATGGGTTCCTGTGGTACACTAGCAGTGTCCCTGCCTTGGAGCCAGGTGGCCTGGGTTCAAGTCCCACCTGCTCTGGAGATGTGTCATAACATCTCTGAGCAAGTTGACTTTATTTTAAATGTGCCTTAATAGACAAAAGTAACATAGAAAGGGAGAGGCGTGGAGGGAGGGAATAACAGATCTTGAGGCCCTGGCAACTAAAGGCACAGCTTCCTTTTTTATTAAAAAATACTCTGATGGGATGTGGAAGTCACCAGCGAGGCCAACATTTGTTGCCCATCCTTAATTGCCCAACTTCTCTGCAGCAGTTTGGTGTAGATGAGTGGCTGACTGGGCACAAAGGGCAGTTTACAGTCAATTCCATTGGTGTGGGTCTGTAAATCAGACCAGGTAAGGATGGCAGATTGCCTTCTCTAAAAAGCATTAGTAGAGCAATTAGAATTGGGAATATATGAGGCCACAATAGGGGAGAGGGGAGATCTTGGAGAGTTGTGGGGTTAGGGAAATTTATGAGGAGACCAAAATCCTGGAGGGATTAGAAAAACACAGATGAGAATTTAAAATAACAAGGTGTAGAGCTGGATGAACACAGCAGACCAAG